AAGAAAAACACTGCTTATATGATTTTGCTCTTCTCAGGTGTGATAGACAAAAGCCTAGAGACTACTAATTTTGTCACGATGTGCCATTATATATGGTTGCTGGAAAATATGCCCGAATGTAAAAAAATCCGAACTATTAGGTGGAAAGAAAAGAATGTCGTTTTTATAACAAAGGAATAAGACAAATCCAAAAAAGTATGTGAGGGGTAGATTTGATAGAGCAAAGGAAGTTTTACTTGATGATTTTTGAACACTGGCAGAAATTGAGATTTACGCAGAGTTCAGAACCAAGGCATCTCATGGTCCCAAAAATGGATTTTTGCCCCAAAAAATCTTGCGAACCTCGTACTTGCTCCGGCATGTAACAGACACATGCACTTATCCATGAGTACACTTGCTGTCTTTTTTCATGCTTGGAACTCAAAAAAATGGAAAAAGAAAAAATGGCAAACTCCGCCCTTAGTACTGTTTGGACTCCTCCTATATATGCCTTTGTATAGTGCAAACCTTGAAGCTTCAGTCAATTTTGGCCTCATATATAGTTTTTGAAAATTATCAATTTCAGCTGAAAAAAACTGGAAGAAGGAGACATACATTCTTTGTTTTTTCAACCTAATACATACGTTTAAGTAAGTCAAATTCTTACTTTGTATTCCAAAATTTCATGAGATACAAAATCAAATGCCAAAGAAAAACTTGAAAATCATAACTAAAAGCAGATTCGATTAGTAAATAGAGTAAGTTGTAGAACCACAATCAGAATTGGAATGTAACTTTTTTTGGGTTTCCCACATTTTTTCACAAAACTTTGAATCCACAATTCTATTCAACACCTTGTAATTTGCGTAAGAAATATGGATTCACTAACAATTTGGAAAGTCCGTGATCTTTCCCTTCGCTGCAATAAACTGAATGAATTCGTCAAAATTGGACGAAATCGACCAACGAAAAATTTAGGGCAAAACTCAAGAAGCAGCCTATTATCTGAAATTTACTTATATGGGTTATAAAAATGTGCAAGTTATGTTTATTCTAGTAAACATATGAATTTTTTGAATTTTTGGAAATTCGAATTAGCCTTGTAGAAATTTTTTTTCGGGGCGTCACTGCCACCACGCCTCCTTTTTCTAGATTTTAAGGGTTATGGACCCGCAGAAATTTTGAGAAGCATTCTAAAAAAATTTTCGGGTGTGTCGTGCGACCGCCATCGCATACCGAAAATTCGTAGCCAAAGGACGTGCTCTACGCAGTTTTGGGAGCTAGACAAGCGGTTTTGGAACGAAATTTTAGAAAAAAACTTCTTTGGCACGAAGTTGTACATCTATCAATGTAAGAGTCTTGTTCGAACGCTCAATTGCTTTGTTTGCAAGAACTTTTACTTCGAGTTTTTACTTTATCTGAGAAAAATGGACTCAATTCCAATCCTTCCAGTCCCCAACAAAGCCAGTTTCTGTCATAGATTTTGGGAACCGACATCCTTGAAAATCAATCCTCACGTTCGCGTCGCATTTGCACATCAAACAAATGACAGCATCGTAAAGGTCGAGATGTGGAGGCGGTGTGCCAACCGGTCCTAGCAGGAAACAGTCAGAATATACCTGATACCGGTTCAGTTCAAGAAAATCATGGAATACTCTAACTTACGACTAGTTCTGGTAAATACCGACTTCGAAAGGAGGCTGGGATAAGAAGAAGATCTAGAAATTCTGCGCAGAAGTTTTCTAGTCATACTGCTTTGTGCATCGTCTGCAACTGCACCAAACTTCCAAAAACCGTTTCAAATACCTGAAAACTCGCTGTTTCCCCCAATTCCCCATTCTCTTCAGCTCGATCCTAACGTTACAATAGCTCCGCGCATTTTCTGTTGACACAGTCAGTGCTTCCTACCAGTGCTTTGTGGATTATGTGGGCGTGGCGACGCCTCTGCGTCTCTGCACATCCAGAGTATTCTCGAAGCATTTTTCCTCGGCATCTCTCTATTATATGTGCTCTTTCCCCATGTGGAATTTGCTTCGAATTTTTTGCGTCGCGCAAGAGAGACGCATGCTTTGCGGCACGCTCGCATTCGTTCACCTGTACTTCAGCGCACTAATCATTCTTTGCTCTATTCCTATGGATTATCAGTTTATATTGGCGTTTGGACAGATGTTTTCGTTGGAGCTAGATTGTGCACCAAATGATATCATGCATCATTTTTTTTTCAATTTTCTTGGTGGTAGAAACGCGCAACAGCTAACTTACTCAGCTATGAAAACGATTTTTTTGACGAATGAGTTTCATTAGCTTTTCACAAGTTCTGAAATTGTTTCTCTTTTCCTCATATGTATTGCTCCCCACAACTCAAAGTACAATTTGTCATAGTACCCTTAGAAAGTGAGAAGGAAAAGTCTTGTGCGAGGAGAAAACTGTTCTTTCTCCTCGAAAAACTGAGCAAACAATTACGTAATCCCAACCATAAGACTGGTGCAAAAAGTGTGTTCTATTTGACTATCGGAGCCGTTTGCTCTAACAATTTGTTTAACTCAATTTTTGTAGTCTCGCTAAAATCACCAATGTGTAGGTGTAAATGAATGATTACTTTGATATTGTGCTATTAATAATCATAATAGATAGTTCTTCAGTCGACTCTGCTTCTGAAAGGTCTCTGGGATATGTCACTGAATATATTGTGCTAGAGATATTTGTAGAGCGCTGAACAAATTTTTTCAAATATCTGCCATTTTACGCCGTTACTCTTAGGACTTTCGCAGAATGACTCAAAGTACGTAAATCGCTTCTTTATCTTCCACAGCTTCCCTTTTATTCAGACCGCAGCTTTATTGTCCTTCCCACTGCTTTACCTCAAGAATGACATCACAAAACAACCCTCGTGTCTTGTTGAAAGCAAAAAAATTAGTTTTTTTTGGGATCAGCTTTCAAGGCAGACCCATTCTGTGAGCAAGTTACGTGCTATTTTTTCGAATACTTTCAGTCAAAAGGTTTTCTTTTATAAACTCAATGCTACCACTAATCCTACCGCAACCTGGAACTGAGCAACACCTAGTCCTATTCGCCAAGCACTAGTTCGTCAACTGTATGCGTATTGCGTCCGCATAACCACAACGTCTCGGAGAACACGCGATTTCCGGTCGAGTGTTTGTTTGATCTACATTTTTCTGGCGCCGTCAGATGGTTCCGAGTGTCGTAACACTTCCCCCAGCTCTTCACTTAAACGCATATGTCAACTGCTTACGTGTTCGCAACTTCTAGAATTTTGATTTTCGACTCTTTTCAAGTGAAGGCCATCTTTACCAGAGCTTGTCAGCACTTCTCCTTACTTCTTTTTTCTACCACGGTGTGAAGAGCAACTCATGGGAGAGTCGTTCAATTTTATCCTCTGTCAGCTTCAGGACTAAGAAATCTTTTTCATTATGGGATCCAGTCTCAGCAGTACAATTATGGAAACTCCTTTGGTAGTACTTTTGAGAACGAAAATATATGTGAAAATCAGTTGGGAGAAAAGTTATGCATGCTTGTCTTTGGTTCAACTCCCTAGTGAAAGATGTCAATATTTGTCTCTCCTCTCTCCACAAATCCAGTATTGGTTGTTAGGATAGGACAAATCATGCGAAAGCTCGACTACTACATTGCCCTTCATTCACCGCATATAAGTTACTCGTACTTTCAGCCAAGCTACTATTCTAGTGACCAGTGCGAAATCTCTGGTAATCAGATTCCACGGACTACTAGAAGAAATTCCATACCTTGCATTTGCTCAAAACAAGTTTTCGCGGCAATGTTTTGCACCTTTGTAGGAAAAAACTCTTTCTGTCATAAAGGCAGGGTCCAGGGCAGAATCCGGGGGCCGAGATTTTTTATTTGAAAACGTTTTGGGATTCGTTAATGCCCTTGCCCAGGCGGCAGCTCATATAATTGATTTATAGCCTAAGAATTCGTTGCTAAATTTCAGACCGTAATTCTACAGTACTTCAGGATGCTGATTATAAAAAATATGGTGTGGCCTGAAGTTTGAGTGAGTGGCCATGAGTGAATCATGCGAACTGTCATTTGAGTAGTTGTTTCATCATTATTTGATTAGGTTGATTGAAAAGTTCTGTGGCTTTGATTTTGGCAAATTCGTAAATGTTCCCTATGTGAACTATTGACTCAAAAAATACCCCCAAACAAAAAAAATCCATCTACTTTCTAATCACATCTTTGCTGCTGTTTGACGTCAAAGACTCCAAAGATAAAAATTCGAATAGGAGAACCACTTCAACTCGTGATTTTCGAAAATAAATCGTCAAACATCCGAAATGCTGCAGAAAATCTGAGAGCACGTTATTTATGGGGTTTGTGAGTTGCTCTTTCTACTGGTGCCAACTTTGTGCCAAACAAGCTTTTCTGCGAAAAGTTTGATTTTCGTGAAAAATGCAGAAACGGCAAAATTGACATTTTGCATTTTTCTGCATTTTTCAGAAAATCATAACTTTTCGTAAAAAAGCTTGATTGACATAAAGTTGGCACCAATAAAAAGAGCAGCTCACAAAATGCCTAATAACGTGTCACATTTTTCTGCAGTGTCTCAGATTTCTGACAATTTATTTTCGAAAATCACGAGTTACGGATGTGAAGATGTGCGAAATGCCAATGGTTCTTCAAAATTTTATCTCTAGAATCTTTTTCGCCAAAGAGCAGCGAAGATGTGATTAGAAAGTAGATGAATTTTTATCTAAGGTATTTTTTGTGAGTCAATACTTTCACAAAGCAAGCTTACGAATTTTTCAAAATCAAAGAACTTTCGACTTAACTCAATATTTACCTAGGAACTCTAGATACTCATACTTGGATGCTCTTTATCTTCACATGTACTTGCTTTTTCTATATCAGACCAGATTGGTACCGAGACTAATTTGTGTCTCGCCGCATTACCTCTTTGATGGACTAACTCGTTTGATTTTATATTATTTCAGTCCGAAAATACGCACATCTTCACATCCGTATCTCCTGTCTTAAAAAGAATGCACATGATTTCAGGTCCGCTCATGAAGGAGCCGTGCTTTCGATGTAAACGGCCTACCTACTTCAATGACAAGGTAATCGATAATCGATTTTTTGTTCACTTGAGATTCAAACGTCATTTGACGTTCATTTGCGATTTGTTTGCGTGCGCAGCAAGGTGCAATGTTGATATTAAACATTCACCCTAGTAGATGTGGGCATTGAAAATTTATTGCAAAAAGAGAGGGAAGGGGGGGGAGGGTGATCAAACCAACTGCAATCAATTCCGATTTAGGTAGGTCCGCTGAAAGACGGTGCCCTCTTCCATAAAGGTTGCTTCAAGTGTTGGATATGTGGAACAAGACTATCACTGAAGACTTATCACAATAACCGCAACGATACACAAGACTTAGAGGTATACTGTGACTGATTTCAATCGATATATCGATTTTAGTGGAGTTCGCTGTGACAAAATAGATAACCAATCCTCTAAAAAATTCATAGAAATCTAAAATGCTTGATTATTTGTAGGTTTACTGCGCTGGACACGTACCCACACCTGGCCCACATGATCCTATTCCACACAGGTACATTTCCTAACTTGAAACAATCGATATATCGATTGCAGAGGAGCGATCAATATATCGATTGGATTGCAAAAGCACGAAATAATCACATTAATTGTTCCAGATCAAACTTGTTATTCTCTCCAAAGACGAAGGGTGAATACCCGCACAATTTGATGAGGCCGGCTGGACCTACATAGTTTGAAAAGATTTCTTTCTTTTTCTTCACTCAATAGTAACTTCTTGATCATGTATAATTGATTTTTCACCTGCCAAATATTCGTCCACAGAAATAATTGTAAGAAAGAAATAAAGAGATACCAAGTGCCTACTATAACGGAAACTCCCAGATACGCTCAGCTGTCTAATCAAACCGTAGCGCTGGACTTTGCGAGCGGCTGCGTAGCGGTTACAGAATTGGTCAAGAGCCTTGATTAGGCGAGATAAACGGCCTCATGTATGGCCTAACTTCTCAACAAACAACTTTTTCAGAAAATTTTAATGATCTACACTAGTTAAACGCTACGGTTCCTATATATTCAATCATCATTTCATACATTTTTCCTATCTCCTAATTTTTCAAAAGTATCTGTAGATCATATCGACATTCCATGCACTGGCTGCTATCGACCATGCTGGATCATATTGACGCTTATTTACGATTTCTGCTAAAATTCGTTTGATTGTTGTCGACTGCATATTTGGTCCGTGAAGGTAGTGACTTGCTGCGCCAACAAGAAGTTGGGTTTCATCATCTTTTACCGGGTTACCCGGATGCTAAAAATAAGTTATTATAAGTAACCTCTCTGCTAAATAATACTACTTACCGTCAAAACGATCTTGAAGGTCCAGTCACCGCAATTTTTGCCGCTGCAGGTCAAAAATAGGAAGAGTGGACGAGTAGTTGCTTCGCTTTTAGGCTCTGACACTGAGCAATTGGCAATTTGCCAACCGCTTTGAGGTATTAGAAACACGGAAATTTGCCCGCTGCCTTGAATTTGACAGAATCAGTAAAATTTGAGATTACGAAGCGTAGCGAACCCACCTTGGATCAAAAAATCATAGATAAGCCTATTTTCACCCTCTTCTTTATGGACCATGTTGATTTTCGTGGCAGGAATTTCAGGCCTATCGTCGAAAACTCTATATCGGATATGTCTGCAAAGGAATTTTATTAGTAAAGGATAAAGGATAAAGGATTAGGCGTCTTCAATACCCTTTGAGAACATGCGCCGAACGCACACACTAAGTTCATAGTCGAAGAGGCAATTGTATGCGTGCGAGCCTATTACAGTGACTTGCGGGGGCCAGCCGTTTTCAAGTCAGTGCTTTTATCCTCCCAGATTACTCTGGTACCAGTTTACCGGCCCCGAGGGGTGGAGGGCTTGGTTGGCCCAGGGGCGGGGATCGAACCTGTGTCCAATCTGGTCATAGCGGCGCCTCATACCACTACGTCACTCGTCCCCTTGTGGACTCGTTGGTGAAGTAAAATCCTGCTACTAAATTGACTTCGCATACACTTCTACATTGGAAGGCAAAATGGAACACAGTTTTATTTATTTCGATGCGACTGAAATGCATTTCCTGTACATGTCTTCGTCGATAATCCAAATATTTGCTGGAGCACATTTGTCGTGAGCTGGTCAGAGGTTTCGATTCGGGTTCACTGTAACCCTTGGGCGAGATAGAACATGTTGGAGTGTGTTATGTGTTACATAGAACACATTAGCTATTGAGTTTTAGCAATCGGGTCTGCCCCCGTGAGTGTTGAAGGCACCGTCCACCCAAAGCGAGGTTGATGAGATTTCGGTGGCATACTAGTGTGGGCCCCCACACTAGGCAAACCCTCAAGTAGCGAGGCAAAGTACTCCTTCCGAAGCGAGAAATCCGCTCCGGAATGGACGTAACCGGAGGTGGTCACTCCGCCCACTTTGCAGGCGCACTGTTGGAGAGACTACACGCACAGCGCAGTACGCTGCCTCGTCGTAGGCGACTAATCGGAGTTTTTCTAGTGTTATTTCGTGTACTTGTATCCTCAACCGTTCGCTTTTTATTCAGTCATGACCAAATCTACGACAAAGTTGTTTTTTCGATTATAGCCATCATCAGCATCCGGCATAGCTGTTTTTCTTGTTTTGAACACGATCTTTCGTTATAGGTGACGCTTGTGCTCAATAAAACGAGATGAACATGCGACGTGAGTTTTTTCATTGCAATGTACATCAAACTGAAAAACTATTTGTAGTCAAAATAATCGTCGACGCCGTCTACATGACTAATGGATCATCGCACTAAACTATCACGCATTTCTGTGTGCTAAAACACTTGCTTTCACTGCTTTCTGCGTGAATGTGCTAAATACGCGGAACCTGGATCAAGACTGGGGCAAACATTTCCCAATACTCCTAATCGATTGCACAATTGCCCATGACTAGTTTGCTAATGACGCCCTGTGTATATCAGCGCGCCTGCAAAGTGGGCGGAGTGACCACCTCCGGTTACGTCCTTTCCGGAGCGGATTTCTCGCTTCGGAAGGAGTATTTTGCCTCGCTACTTGGGGGTTTGCCTAGTGTGGGGGCCTACACTAGTATGCCACCGAAATCTCATCAACCTCGCTTTGGGTGGACGGTGCCTTTAAGGTAGAATGCTGCAGTTAGTAGGTGTGGCCAATCAAGTTGACAAATCGACTATACTGACACAGAGCTTGCCATTTTTGCCTGCTTGCCTAGATTACTCTGGTACCAATTTACCGGCCCCGGAGGGTAGAGGGCTTGGTTGGCCCAGGGGCGGGGATCGAAGCTGCGTCCGATCTGGTCATAGCGGCGCCTCATACCACTACGCCACTCGTCCCCGGAATTTTATTACTAAGGCTAAAAAAGTTGAAAAATATTATTTACCTGTCTTGTATTCGACTACGGGTAGGAAAGTAAAGGGGTATTTCACAATACGGACTTTCGTATTGACACTGAGGTACGGTATAATCTAAATACAGTAACCAAGAGATACTGTAGCCACTTTTGTCCACTCACTTCCATCAACGAAGGGAATATCCGTGGCACCACGATAATCTTGTGCAATTACGTAAAGCGGCGAGTCTCTCACTCTTACTCCATCGTCTTTATTGTACAAAGCACGATTTGCATGCTAAATTACGGCATTTAAAGTTATAAAATTGGAATTTCATTTCAAAAAAAAGAGCTCACAAATATTTGTATCCTTCGTGCTACAGGATACGCATCGGAATGATTATAGGGAGATTTATGTAGGAAACAGAGTATAAACAGGACAATTGCGGCAGCAACGAAGACACCACCAATCATTTCGAAAAAGTTTCGAATTTTTGTCTCTTCTTGGGTTCGATTTGTACGAGTCACTGTGAGCATTGGCAGCTAAAAGTTACGCGGATTTTTTAAGAAATAAAATTGTTAGAAATAGTGAAACTCACTAGCGACAGTACAATAACAAACGAAGGCAGATTTGTGAAGGCAGCTATGAATAGCTCAGGATTCGATCCAGTCCTTCCCATGATTGGAATAAATATTGAAAGGCACATTTCAGTCAGATAAATTATCATACTATAGCTTGGAGTGCAAAGAATTAAATGAACAACGAGTGTTTTCCATTCGGCTAGAAAATTTGTGGACATTATTCCACTTTCTAAAAATGAATTCTTACTTCACTCACTTGATAAAGGCAATACATCTTCGATGACTTGCAAAAGCATAAATGCAAATATGAAGCCACTAGCTATACCCTTGATGCTGCAAAGAGCAAGGACAACAGCTAGCAGGGTTAGATGCACTTTTCCGATTGCTACGGCCGATTCCTGGAAAAAACTCGCTCTACTCAGTGTAGATAAAAAGAGAAAGATAAAAGGGATTCGTTTTTCTACGGTTCAAAATGACACTAAAACTAATCAATACCTCAGTAGCATTATATACACCTAATGCAGGATCTCATATCATGGAAAAGAACGCAAACGGTGATGATCGTGAAAACCTTTCAAGGCTATCATTTTGATAATCACTCCTCCAGTTAGAAGATTAGAAAGAAACCCTGCACATCGTATCCCGCCTACGGCGCCGAGTGGTAGCAAGTGTGTGTCAGGGTACTCAGGGCGCCTTTCGGATTGGACAAAAACGTCTTCCCGGACGACATGCCATGAAAACTGCCTCATGCTCTGCACCTACAACGCCAAGACAGTCTCCACAAAGCCGACCTCCACGCTCTTACGCTGCAGAGCACATCAACTACCACATCATCGCTCTGCAGGAAACGAAGTCCAGGAAGAAGGACGTGCGACAGATGAGTGATGGGACCCTCATCATTCGTGGTGAAAAGGTTCTATCACGAAACGTGGGAGGCGTCGGCTTTGTCGTCCACCCATCTATCGTCCATCTTGTCGATTCGCACGAGATCCTATCACCTCCACTGGGCATCCTACGACTACGCCCTCCACGTCAGAAGACCATCAGCATCATCAACTGCTACTCGCCAACATCAGCAGCTGACGACTCAGAACTAGATGCTTTCTACGAAGACGTGGAGGAGGTCGTCCGCAACGAAAAGTCCTTCTACAAGTATGTTGTGGGCGACTTCAATGCGAAAATCGGGATGCCACTAGAAAAGGAATATAGGGTCGGGAAGTTTGGATATGGGCTCCGAAACGAAAACGGCAACCGTCTCGTTGGGCTCCTCTCCGCCGCACGACTCTTCCATGAAAACTCCATCTTCATGAAGAAAGAACATCGCCGGTGGTGGGAATCGCCCAACGGAGCGACTCATGCTGAGATCGACCACATTCTCACCAACCGAAGGTGGAGCTTACTCGATGTCTCTGTGGTTCCATCCTTCTGTAGTGGCTCCGATCACCGCCTCCTTCGAGCGAAAATACGAGTCAGCCGAAGGCTGGAAAAGAAAGTCTGTCATAGTGCCGCGAGAAGGAAGGAAGTCGTTTATGACGGTAACAGGCTGGAAGAGCTCATATCAAGTTGTGACTGGCCCATCGAGGAGGACCCAACGTACGACTACGACCGGCTTCTGAAAGGATTGCGAGTCTGCGGAGAATGCGCCTCAGTGACTTCTGAGAAGAACTTGGCATCTCGAAGACCACCAAGGAATTGCTCGAAAGAAGAAGATCGCTGAGGCAGGATCCGAATGCAACTCATCTCGAGCGACTGATAGCCAACGCCAGTTGCAGAACAGCTTTGCAAGAGGATCTCAGGAAGTACAGGCAAGCCAAGATACTGGAAGCAGCCGAAAGAAGACGCAGTCTCAAGAAGTGCCGAAGGGACCTCTGCGAATATCACGTACCGCTGGGTGCACTACTGAACGAAAACGGGACTCCGACTTCTTCCCGATACAAGATGGAATCTATCGCGAAGAACTTTTACACCAACCTCTTCCGCTCATCAACACCCGTGCAGATGCCCGTTGTTCCCACTGGAGAAGTACCACCACGAATTCTACCTGCTGAAGTGCGTATCGCGATACAGACCATGAAGACGTCCACGGCTCCAGGACCAGATCATCTTTCCGTCGAACTTCTGCGAGCCGGAGGACACCGTCTACACGAGATTCTAGCGTCGCATTTGACATCTTACCTTCAGAAGGAGAAGATTCCCGACCAGTGGAGAACGTCAAGAACCGTCCTTCTCTTCAAGAAGGGTGAACGGGAGGATCTTCGGAACTATCGTCCAATATGCTTGCTGAGTGTGCTGTACAAGCCACGAAAATTATCCTCGTTCGCATATCAAGGACACTGGATGAAGCCCAACCCCAAAAACAAGCTGGATTTCGCAAAGGATTCAGCTGCATGGACCACATCCAGACCGTTTCGAGGGTCATAGAAGTCTGCCGGGAGTACCGACTGCCTCTCGTCCTAACCTTTGTCGACTACGAGAAAGCTTTTGACAGCGTCGAAACCAACGCCATCCTGTCTGGCTAGTCGATCAAGGGGTGGACCCAGCTTACGTGAGGACGTTAGCCGACTGCTACAAGGACTGTACAACGACGATGCAGCTATTCCATCGCCCCCTGACCATACCAATCGGGAAGGGGGTGCGACAAGGCGACACAATCTCGCCGAAGCTGTTCACCGCGGCCTTGCAGTGGGTGATGAAGTCACTGGACTGGGACGAGAGAGGCATACGAGTTGATGGGAGATTCTTGTCCAACCTTCGTTTTGCGGACGACATCGTTCTCTTCTCGAGCAGTATCACCGAAGCAGAGACGATGCTGAAGGAACTAAACGAAGCAGGGAAGAAGATCGGACTGCGAATAAATCGGAAGAAGACTCAATTCATGAAGAACGCCCTTTGCGAAGATGCAGAAATGGAACTGGAAGGCACCCCGATTATGGAGACGTCTTCCTGTATCTCAGACGTTCGATGAACATGGAGAACGACTTGAGGGAAAAACTTAACAGGAGAAGAAGAGCAGCCTGGACCGCCTTCGGGCCTCTGAAGGAAGCCACCGACCAACTGACGGACCCGGAGCTTCGTGCCCACCTGTTCGACTCAACCGTTCTCCCGGCGCTCTGTTACGCAGCTGAGACTTGGGCCGACACTGTAGCCACGTCGAAAGCTTTACGGACCACCCACAGAGCGCTCAAGCGCAGTCTTCTGAAGATGACCCGACGCAAGCAACATCTAGTCGGACTTCGCAGCACGGATATGAGAAGAATGTCCCGTCTTCGTGACCCAGCGGAATACGTCGCGAAAGCCAAACACCGATGGGCCGGTCACATAATGAGAAGAACAGACGACAGATGGACACTAAGAACATCTGAGTGGATTCCTCGCGAAGCCAAACGTCCTCGAGGAAGACCACCGACGAGATGGGCAGACGTGTTCGTGGAACGGATGGACCAGCTGAGAAATCAGCTGGATAACTTTCGCCCCTGGAACTCGGGGACGCAGCCACCGACGACGGCCAAGAAGATCGTGGATGTCTGAAGCGAGGGACAGGGAAAAATGGCGACTTCTGTACTGGGGCCCTCACGTCACGTGAGGACAGGCCATCTAAGTATCAAGTAAGTATCATTTTGATAATGAAATGAGCTGAATGGATGATAGTGACCAACTTCCAACACAATGATCCCACGTAAATTTGAGCTACTATTTCATCTGATGACGATGCAGAGCTCTGAGATCTCTTCTTGAAAATGATATATGAGGTACAGCAGTTCAAAATTACCGAACCAAAAGTGGACAAGAAGATGCGGAGAAAACGATTTGCCAAGCAACTGATGAAGCCTATGTAGATTGCGGGAGAATTATATCCACGTTCAGACAAGTAGCCCTTCACAAATCCGGGTTCTGACTTTTCTAGTATTTTCTTGCACACCCGGGTATGGGCCTGTAGACATACCACCATCAAGGAAGAATCACTCTCCCATCCTCTAAAGTTAGCATGGAAGAGTAATTCGGTATTCGATGTCAACGTAAAGTTCAGCGCAATATTGCATTCATGCAATTTATCAGCCAGTGTTTTTTCCAAGCTCGTTGATCGGGGAGTGGGCGGGGTGAGCCAGAAGGACGGAGGGATCCAAAAGGCATGTTTTGCCTTTGGATACTTCAAACCCGGCTGTGTGACAGTTCTACCTTTGTGCAAAGATCTCAGACCTCCAACCCCGCGTAGTCTTCGGCTTCTTTTGCAACATTTTCTTGAAACTTGACATTACTAGACTACCAAAGTAATGATTTTCGCCTCAGAACCTGCGTCTCAACAGTACTGATGGTTGTGCATCGTGTTAGGACGAGTAGTCCGCGGGAGCAGTGCATTTAAGGTGTTCGTTCCTCCACTGATGTATATCAGAACTTCTTTCCAGTTCATAGTCGTTCACAAATCTTGAGCTCTTCTTTGGTGCATTCATTCGTTTATATGTGCTCTTACACGTTTCACTAAGGAAAAAGAAAAGGAAATGCTCGCACCTCTCTCTGTGACTGATCCATTCTCGTAGCTAAAAACGTCATAGTACTAGTTCCAGCCCAAAACGTTGGAATACCATATATCAGAACAGCCAGACCATGAATTGAATACCTACATAGGAAAATCTAGGAGTTTTTCCATAAATAGAAAATCACCACTTACCAAGGCATTGCACCCCAAATTAACAATGTCAAATTCGTCATCAGATATGTGACAGCTACCATAGTCACGATCACGCAGACGTAGTTCGTGACAGCTGTTCTGTAGACTTCCGCTGTAAGAAATTACAACAAAATTAGGAAAAATACTGCTCAAAATGGATCCCTTACAGTTTTTTCTCATGTGATTAGCAGCAGAAATGAGGACTGCTATGATCAGAATGGCATTTATAGCGTTGGAGATATCTTCTGAGTAGACTACCACAAATAAGCCTAGAAAAAAGGCAAAATCATGATTTTTTCAGGAAAAATTATCAGATGCAAACCTAGAAAATCGAAGAACACATTTTTCTGATCTCCAAATTCAGATGGTTTCTCCAAATATGGTGAGTTTAGCAGGTGAAGCAATGTAGCATAGACATTTTCTCCTAAAATGTATATTATTTAATAGCTATGCTCGACTAAAAAAACAAAAAAAAACTGTGCAAAAGTTTCCAAACAGCATGAAGAATTTTAGGTTAAAAATAACAATATTTTTATTATGGATTATGGGTCGTTCTAGCCCTTCCTAAAGAGGATCAATGATCGAATTTGTGGTTTTTTTTTGTTGAGAGAATCGAGAAAAAGAATCCCAGGTTTTCAGGAATACTAATATTGAATAGCAAAAACGCTTTATCGAGAGAATGACTTTCTAACAAAAAAATCCAACATACCAGCTCTCTGAAGTGACCCGGGAGTAATTCTACGAGCTTCATCAAACTCTGTATGCCACCAATAGCCGTTTTGCACAAATGCCAGGTCCAGTCCTAAAACGAAACTAGATTGAACTTTTGGAAGTCAATACCAGGCCTGCCTAACTTACCGGGAACTCTACCATGATCTCGAAAGACGCGAAAATCTGTGTCACCGGGGAATCGACCACTTTGGAAAATTTCTTGGCCTATGATTGAGCAATGTGGATGTACAGCTGCAGCTAAGTATGAGTTCAGCAACCATTGATTTGCAGGACCTAGAGTTAGTTTTTTTCTTTGGTATAAAAAAAGAAAGGCGGTAGAGTTTACCAGCTTGGAAGAGTAACTCCCTTCCACCACTTCCACTAGCTTCCAAATTGATAAAAGCGCGAACTACATGTCGCCACTGATGCTGTGTAATAAATCCATGTGCTCCCTAAATAAACAAGGTCTTTTGGCATTAAAAATAATTCTGTACAGAATGTGAAGATGGTTTTACCTGCAGACTTGACTCTTCAGCCCCATTGAACAAAAATATAACATCGTATCTAAGGCTCTCCGGCTGATGAGCAAGAAGGCGGATGATTTCCATCATCAGCGCGCAAGATATTAGATCATCCGAGCCGCCTGAAATCAGGATTTGTGAAAAAGAAAAAGAAAAAGAAAAAAAGTGAAGTAAAAGCATACCGCTACTCGTAGGCCAACTATCATAGTGACAATTCAGCAAAATTGCCGGTTTATTGGGTTTTGTGTCCTTCGACAGACGTGCTGCCACGTTTGAAACCTTAAAAGGGATGGTTTATATGTGAAGTATGTTTCGCCTGCTCAGAGTATGTATTTTTGCGTCCATGAAAACAAAGAAATCTGCGGGCATCGCGGCTCACGCTATACAGAGTCGCTCGTGCCAGCGTCGTGGTGCCGAGTCTGCGCCGTCAATCGATCAATACGGAACATGCCCAGGTAGGCGCCGGCACGGCATTGGCACGACGATGGCACAGGCGACTCTAGACGCAGACTCAGCTCTACGGGTTTTAAGAATTTTCAGAATAAGTGCATAAACTTACATTTTTGTAACAGATAGTAAATCCATCGGTATCGAATCGCGGAATATCGAAGCAGCCAGTGGCATATTGCTCAGAAATCTCAAAACTTGCAGATGCCGCTGCTTTGATCATTCTATAACTTCTTCCAACTGCTGGATATCTTTTCACATCAAAAACTGACCTCAGCTCCTCCAGAATATGATTTCTCGTGAACTTTTCACAAGCTTGTGAACCAGCCGGCTTAGGTCCGAAATTGGAAAGTTGGAAGAGAAATCTGCGAGCGCGAAGTTCCGAAAAATTGTTGGAATCTAAAAAACGAAAAGAAAATAGATATAAAAAAACTATCAAAACTTACCCTTTTCGGCTGGCAAGGCATCTGGTAAAGCTTTGTGTAAATAAACTGAAGCTCCAATCAATCCGATTAGATACAAAATGATGACGATCCAGTGCCGGGCGCCAAATTCTTTACTGAGATCGCTGTCAGAATTCGAATATTCCACCGGCATTAGTGGAGCATCAGCATCGTCTTTTGCTTTGAAGAACCGCATAGCTGGAAGCGAGACGATAATGGTGTCATTTTGCCGCAGCGCGTTCGCTGCGCGACCGCGCACGCAGTCTCGTGCGTCGAGGGATGCATAGCATAGTTAGGAAAGCATAGTCCGTGGATAATGACTTTCCTGTCTAGCCCAGCGTGAGATAGCCCTCTTCCGTGCCACGAGTGCAACGAGTCTTCTTGGGGTCAAAATAGTTTGGAATCAATCAAGAAGTAATGAACAACGTGCCTTCGAAGGAGATGAAGCTTGAAGGCGTCGCAAGTGTGATAAACGCAAGAGCCTTCGGGCTAATCGATGAATAAAATGAACCTTCTCGCTCAGACGAGTCACGATGGCATTATTCCTCGATAATCCTAAATAATGATCATTTTCATTTCATCGCAAGTGTACGGGTGTGTCAAGAAAGTGAAAGGTATTTGAGAAGGGTTAAAATGGCAAAGGCGGTAACAACAATTAGCCGCAGACTCTTCGGTCAGGAAAAATACAATTCAATTGACGATTGTGTATATAAATAATGTTGAGCGAAGCGACTTTTTCATGAAATGAGAGGTGGCCCGAAATTGTAACTAACATCTTTCTTCTTCACTTTTTCTAATTCTTCGTTTTCTTCTCTCTCTGCCACTTGAACAGGAACAGTTGTATGCTTATCTCAGAGGCAGTGTCTTGGCAATTATTCGACTTGTCTTTTTTTTTACTTATCCAGACCTTTACATGGCGCTGTTCTGAATGCCATCAAAAACGTAAATCTTCAAAAATTTCTTTTTTTGGCATTTTGTGAGACCATGGACAAGTGTTATCGCCGTTATCTTTGTGAAAGCATGCCTTAACAGGTAAACAGTATATTTTCAACGTGTTTGCCATGGAAAAACGAGATTTCGTTTGAGGGGGTTAGCCGACCAGATGTGGGCGAGATTTGAACGATTCTGGTGATTTTCATGCCTATTTTCTTCTTTTAGGGGCAGTGTTTGGAAACAAGTTTGCGCAGTAGTTCCAATCGAGGCTCTGACACATATTCGACTATGATAGTGACCACGAAAGCTAAATCAGCCCGGGCGCTGTCCTCAAGGGAGGGGGAGGGGAGGGGGGAGAGCTACCCGACGCGCAAGAAGAGGTGAAAGGGTAAAGGGAGGGACGGGGGGGGGGAGTGCAGTGAACGGGTAAAACTCATATTCAAATGCAAAATAGTTTGCCTCATCCACCGGCAAATAATGGCGCGGCAGTACCGGGATGTCAGCTAGTCTTACAGTCTCTTCTAATTACAGTCTCCTCTAGTCTATGCATAGAACCCTTTAAAAAATTTTGGATTTCAGACATTCCTGAGTTCGTGTCTATCGACCACGAAAAGATTCGGCTCTTCTCCCATTTTTGTAAACATTTATTTCCAAAAACACTCTTTATACATGTACTATTTCACTCAGTTGTAACGAACAAAATTTTTATCGCATGAACGAGAGAGTAACTGATCTTTGAAAATTTTTCGAAAGATGAATGTCGAATAATTGAAATTAGGTAAATTTTTGAAGGGGAATATTATTCGATTTCTGTTTTTATATAATTCGAATTCCGATATTCGAATATGGGTACATTCCAAATTCGAACTTTCAAATACTCGAACAACTGTTTTCCGAAACATCCGGAATATTTGAATATTCAAATAACTGTCTTTTAACCTCGCACATTCGAATATTCGAATCATTCCCGAGTCGTCGAATGAACGAATTATCTTTTTCATTTATTCGATTAATCGAATAATCGAAGAACTAGACTTTCTCGAATATTCGACTACTCGAGTATTCGAAAGTTTTTCATACATGAGCGTTATGGAAGATTAAATGTTCAATATTTTCTGGACACTCTGCATGAAGGTCTTCCGCTTCAGTGAGACCACGCATTGACCTTCAAAGTATGGCAGCATGACAAGAGTATGGTGTAAAAGCAAAAGCTATTATATTAGGTGGGTCCGAAAGTTCTGTCGTTTCATTTTCAAAAATTTGTAAGTTCGCGAAATTTAAGCGGATTTGTTTGCTTTTATTTGTTAGAAAGAAAAAGTCTTTCGCTTTCGAACGCTGTTTTGAAGAGCCTTGGTTTCACAGTGAATGCAGAGATAAAAATGGAAAAGTAAGACCATATAATCTTTGACCATTTTAAGTTAGGTCACCAAAAATCTGGAACGCTGCAAAAAAATCTGAAATCGTTAGTACATATGTTTTTTGGCCTACCCTTCGCAATTGTGAAGAGTTTGTACCGCATGGACGTTTCTGTGAGAAGTTATGATTTTCGCGAAAATTGACAAATTAATTAATTTTGGTGTTTTCCATAGTAAACTCGATATTCATAACTTTTCAGAGACTTCCAAACAGCACAAACTCTTCACAGATGCAAAGGGTAGGCCAAATAACATATGTACTGACGATTTCAGATTTTTCTGCAGCATTCCAGATTTTTGGTGATCTAACTTAAAATGGTCAAAGCTTATATGGTCTTAGTTTTCCATTTTTATCTCCGCACCCAGTATGAAACAGAAGCTCCGCAAAATAGCATTTAAAAGCGAAAGACTTATTCTTTCTAACAAAATTAAAAGCAAGCAAGTCCGTTCAAATTTTGCGAAGATACAATTTTTTGAAAATAAAACGACAGAATTTTGGGACCCACCTAATACATAAGTAACAAGGGTAAAAACATGCACGTGTGTTTTTCCAGCTTAAGTTACACAATGTACATTCTACATACTTGGTTGTCCCGAAAGTTTTGCCGGTTTTTTCCATCGGTCGCTAAAACTTACAGAACAGCGATCGGTGGACGAATTAAGTTCCGTTCAATTCAGGTTTTATCCTCTTTTTGGCTATTCCTCTCTGACCTACGCGATATCGCTATGGCTCTTCAAGCAGCTCTCTGCTCATCGGTGACGCCAAACCTTCCCAGAATTTCAAAGGAATCTTACCCTAATATTTTCTAAGGCCGCTAGTAACTGTTACGTAGAGTAAACCTTTGGCTACATTACGCTCATTTCAGATCACACACGTTTATCAAGTCTGTATCAATTTTTTTGGGGAAGATCTCAGCTTTTTGATCACGTTTAGCGCATAGGAGTATCGGAAATTTCTAAAAATCTGATTTTTCAAAGCGAGTCAATCTTGAATATGTTCCGTAAATATCGCGGCTCGCGATGCGAGCGCTCCTAGAAGTAGGAAGCCGGGAGCACTGGTTGCTGCAGCGCTATCCGGCGACGACTAGGGTACTTTCTCACGCTTACCGCAATCGCCTCTGGACCTCTCCTTGCCTTGGCGCGTTGCCAGTCAAAAGGCTATGTATATAGCGGCGGCGCCTCATTGCAGCTTCTGTTCGCTTTCTTTTCAATCAATAATCTTTTCTTGTGTTTTATATCGTGCCCGTGCCTGGCACGAGCACAGTATAAAACACAAGATTAACTCCCGCCTTTGATATCTCTTTTGCGTTAGCGGTAGAGCGGATCGAAAGTTATAGGGGATTCAAGTCGGATTTGGGATTCCTTTGGACGAGCCACTTTTGGAACTACTGAAATTTAGGATATTAAAGTTTTATGAACTTTGGAGCGGAGAGATGTCGCGCTTGTTATCCGGCGACGCGTGGTCCGAAATTCACTCTATTTTTATCTTGCTTAAATGATTTTCAAAACTTTGAAATACAAATTTTGAAAACTAGCCAAACTTTCGGCAGATAGAAATGACGGAAGAATTTTCCCCATTATCAAAAAAGATGGATGAAAGATAATGGAAAAAAACGGGTTTTTTAAAAGCGGTCACACTTACGAACTTATGCAAAAGTGTTTTATTTAACGATGAAATATTTTGCAGAAATTCAGTTCGAGTTAGCTTTGAATTATTGGATTCTGGTTCGAAAATGAATCCATAAAAAAGAGAAGGAAAAGCTGCGTCGAATGTATGTTGAAGCTCATTCAAATCTCTATTGTGCGTGGTTTTGTAGTTGTTTGAAAAAAACCGACAAAACTTTCATGATAACCTAATAATAAGTTTTGGATTTCTATGAGTGTCTCCAGTATAATCAACAACGAAATAAAAACTAAAAAGTTTCTCTTGATGTCGCTCTGGATGTGAAAGGGTTTTTCATGCTATACCGCACAAAGCAAACCGACCGCAGAACGCACAAAAATCATTTGTGAAAGAAAAACAATAGAGCAAAGGAGAGAGAAACCCAGAGCACTTTGAAGACGAATCAACTCATTGAAAGATATTTTTACCATGAGGTATCAATAATGTCAAAATCTTATGCGAATCGTACGTCTTGATAGAAGGAATGAATCAATACCTTTACGATGCAAAAAGATCACATGCCAGCGGTGCGAGTACAAAATTGAAATGCATGTCATTAGCAAACCAAGTTTGATAAAGAAGGAGTTCAAGACAGAAATATAGATATTTGAAAGGTTTTAGCTCAAGAAATTCAGATGCTCGGGATGGCAAGTTGAGCACACAATGTTATCAGCAATCCAGAACAGGTCAGCGACCAGCAGCGGTCGACGCCCGGCTCTGCAGAGACGCAGCGCTGTGAAGGTCGTCGGCCCGCGGTGACACCCGTAGTTATTGCAAATCCCTGCGAACTCCAAAAGTTCAGAAAAAGTAGTTTCACCTAGCTAGCAGAAGATAGAGAAAGAAACTGCTCCAAGTATGTTACTAGAAATGCTTTGAGCATGTGTAAAAAATGAATAAAACTCACCTAGCTAACTGGATGGTCTGTCTTCACATGGCGTGCGCGCCCCAACAACCTACTTCAGACATCCACAATCTTCTTGGTAGGCGCTGGTCCACGATTTCTAAGTGCGAGTCGTATCTAGCTGATTTCTCAGTTGGACCATCCGTTCCACACATATGGCCCTCTTGTTGGTGTCTTCCTCGAGGTTGTCGTGCTTTGCAAAGAATTCACCCTGATGTTCCCAGTGTTCATCTGACGTCTGTTTTTCTCATGATGTGACCGGCCCATCGAAGCTTAGGCTGCGTTCATACTGACTCCAATGTTCTGGAACTTTCCCGCACAGTTCCAGCACAGTGCGAGAACTGTGCGGGAACAGTTCCAGAACGTGGGAATCAGTATGAACGCAGCCTTAGCTTTCTGTATTGCGAAGTCCGGAAGGATGTTGCCTGCGTCGGGTCGGGTCATCTTCAAGCTATGAGTGCTCTGTGAGTAAATCGTAGAGACGACGTGCCCGCTGTGTCGGTCCCAAGTCCCAGCTTACCTAACAGAGCACAGGAAGGATAGAGTCGAACAGATGGGCTCGAAGCTGTGGGTCCGTCACTTGCTTGCTGGCTTCCTCTAGAGGACCCAAGGCGGTCCACCAATTTCTTTCTCTTGTTAGGTTCTTCTATCAAATCTTCTCCATGTTCATCGAACGTCTAGGATACATGTAAGGAGAATTTTCCATGATAGAGATGCCTTCCAATCCATTACCATACCTTCACAAAAGCCATTCTTCACAAATCAAGTCTTTTTTCGATTTATTCGCAATACAATCACTTTCACTACTTTGTTTGTTTCTCTAATCGTCGTCTCTGCTTCAGTGATACTGCCTGAAAATGGAACGATGTCGTTCGCAAGACGAAAGTTCCAAAATCTCCCATCAACTCGTAGCCTCTCTCGCCCAGTCTAATGACTTCTTCCCGCATTGCAAGACCGTGGTAGACAACTTCGGCGGAATAGTATCACCCTGTCGGATCTCTTGCCAATTAGGATGGTCAGGAGGCAAAGGAATAGCTGCTTCGTTGTTTTACAATCCTTGTAGCAGTCGTCACTTGTAATAGTCTTGTAGCATTACCTTTACGTAGGCTAAGTCCACCTTGTTCAACTAGATCGACTCCCGGCAGACTTCAATCATATCCGAAGCCTTCTGATGCGTTCCATGCAGCTGACTTTGCAAAATCAGCTCCATGAATCTGAGCTTCATCTAGTATCATAGACATGCAAGAGGTTGATCTTCATGAAAAGCTTGTACAGCACACCCAGCAGGCTTATTAGACAATAGTTGAGGAAATCCTCCCGTTCGCTTTTTTCAAAGAGAACGACGGTCTTCGAATCCAGATGGACGAGAATCCTTTCCTCCTGAAGGTGAGTGCTAAGCGCGACGGGAGAATCCAGCATGGATGTGGCCCTCGTGCTAGCAAAATTTGACGAGAAGATAAACTGGTCCTAAAGCCGTGGACGTCTTCATGGTCAATTGCGGTAAGCACTTCAGCAGGTAGAATCCGTAGTGGTACAGTGGGAACAACGGTACTCGGCACGGGTGTTAATGTGTCGAAGAGCTTGGCGTAGAAGATTTCACATAGATCATGCTATGTCGAAAAAATCAGGCCCCGTCTTTGTTTAATAGTACTGTCAATAATTTACACGATAATTTACGTGATTTCGCAGAGGATTCTTCAACACCTCTTAGAACTTCGTCTTCCCTCGGCTGCTTGTAGCACCTTAGCTTGCTTGTACTTCCAAACATCCTCCTGTAAAGCTTTTTCATTGGTCGCTATCGGTCGCTTAACATGGATTGCAATGGGATCCGTTTCAAAGCTCTTCTTCATTTGAGCATTGGGGTCCTATGAGAAGTTATCACAAGTTCATTCCCGAAGTCACTAAGGCGCACTATCCGCAGGCTCGCAATCCCTAAGAAATCGGTAGCAGTCGTACGGCAGGTCTTCCTTGATGGGCCAGTCACAGCTTGCTATGAGCTCTTCCAGCCCTGTTACCGTAATAAACGACTTCCTTTCTTCTCGTGGCAAATCTACTTTTTCAACTTTTGACTGAGTCGTATGTACCTCCGCAGGAGGAGGCGGTGAGTGGAGCCAATGCAGTATGGAACTACTGAAACGTCCAAGCTCCTTTAGTTGGTGAGAATGTCCGAACGATTTCGATGTCCGCCTGCGATGTTCTTTTTTTTTAAATGAAAATGGAGCTTGTACCTTCATGAAAAAAGAACAGTCATGTGACGGAGAGAAGCCCAACAGCCCAAAATGGCAACACCGTTGCCATTTTCGTTCCGGAGCCCATATCCAAACTTCCCAAATGTATACTCTTTTTCTAGTGGCATCCTTATTTTCGCGTTGAAGTCGCCCTCGACAAACTTGTAGAACTCCTCGTTGAGGAAGATCTCCCCCAAGTCTTCGTAGAAAGCATCCAGTTCTGATTCAGTTACTGAAGATGTTGGGGAGTAACAGCTGTGAATCTGACGGACTTCTGAAGCTGGCGGCGTAGACGTAGGACAGCCAGTCAAATGTAGGGTCTCATACGAATCGACAAGATGGACTATAGATAGGTGGACGACAAAGCCAACACCTCCAATGTACCGTGATTTAACATTCTCACCATGATAAGGATTCCATCAACTTTTCACGTTCTTTCTTGGTCTTCGTTCCAATTCCGTAGCATCGACACAAATTCCATCTTTCTAGGTGAGATAAGCTGATTTCGAGAGAGAAAAAACGTTATAAGCGGCAACAAATATTATTCACATAGAAAATTGAATCTTATGTAAAATTTTTGATTATCTCCTGCGGAAAAAAGAATATCAATAAAGCAGGTTCGCTTCACTGCGATAAACATAAAAAAATTGTTCAAATATGCCAGAAGAATACACACAAGATGTTGCGAAGTTGCAGGTTTCTAACATTTTTTGCATGCTATCTTCTGCTTTTTCTTTCTGTGAGGCAAGCGAACAATGGCAAGATACATTAGCGCCAAAATGCGCGCAGTCTTCCTTTGCAAAGGCCAGAAATCCAAGGCAACTCCACTCCACCAATTATATGTCACTTTTCCTACTTCTTTTTCTTATTATCTGAAAGTATACTCTTAATTTCATCCATAAATGGCTCAGGGCTCGGCACAGGTGGCTTACAAGCAAGTTGGATATCGTTTCTAGGACAAAAAGCAAAGGGAGTTTCGTTTTTGTGGCCGAAAAGACATGAAATTTGCGACTTTTTTCAAGTCGACGTTTCGTTTTTTTTTTTGAAGATTTTTAGGGATTGTGGTCTAGTGCCAAAGAAACTTTGTAAAATTTCGCTAAAGTCAAGGGGGACTTCGTTTTTTGCATTTTCAACTAGCCACCTCGTGCCGAGCCCTGAATGGGCTGCTAATGCATCCAATACCAGAACAAAAACAAGTTTTTCTCAATATCGAAAAACCGGAGACACTAAATCAGTCAATAACGGACTTAGAACTGCAAGATATGTACTAGATATATTCGTGACTTAAGGCACCGTTTCTTTGTTGCTATTCTTCCTTTTTTGAAATACCCTTCTAAAGCTTCTTAAGTTTGCGAAATAGATTTCATTGCGCAAAAACCTACACGAGCCTATTGTGAATTAAAAAATAATTCTAGGACTTTCTTGGTTTCGAAGAAAGAAATCAATTCTGACACAAACCACATATTGCTGCACCGTCCAGATCTTACTATGAATGAAAAAAAAAACAAGAAATTTGGATTTACATGATCTATGCATGTACGAAAAAATAACGATTTTGCATGTTTCTATTTTGCGAAATAATCATGAGAACTTTTCGCATGGCCATTCGTGCACTAGTGGCTTCTGCAAGATATTATAGTTTGTGTACATTTTCTTCCTCTGCGCATCCTTTTCTCTCCCACTCTTCTTCTCCTTAGTTTTTTTTGTCGTGTTCGGGATCATCGGTCATGCGAATGACCCCTTTAGTTCTTTTAACTCTAGTGGTCGCAACGACCGAACCCGCGACACTTCACGCATTTCTATATGTCGGTAAATAATGCTCCAATAAGCGCATTTTCTTTGATGCGAGCAGGTTTTTAGCCACAGGTTTTCTTGGCACCCCTTCAATAATTACTACTTTATTACTACTTTATTCACCGTGCAGGCAGTATGCGTTGGATTTGCTCATCTCAAAAGAGGGAGTGTGAAATAGCGGGTCTTACCTCTTTCACTCTTCTCTTCATCCGTTGATTATTTTCCACTCTTCCTTCTTTCCTTATACGAAAATGGCAAAAAAAGGACTGAAATTCTGTTTTTGAGCAACATTTCTACGATGGGTACCGTTGATTATTTTCCACTCTTCCTTCTTTCCTTATACGAAAATGGCAAAGAAAAAATGGACTGAAATTCTGTTTTTGAGCAACATTTCTACGATGGGTAAGTCGTGTACTATCTCGAAAGTCTTGCAAAAGCTTTATTTATTACTGAAAGAATTTTCTTGAAGATTTTAGCCGATGGATGGAGGTGAAATCATTTGTCTATAAACATACAAATACCGGAAAAAAATTTGGTTGCGCATTGATACTTCTACATCATCAAAGACTGCTACCCACTTGATTACACAGATGGAGCGTGCATATACAAATAATCGAAAAATATCATAATCTACATGAAAAATATAGAACCTGTTTTCTCAATAAAAACTAATTTTTTTTGCAAAAATAAACCTATACTGGAGCTTTCAAATAAAGATTCAAAGACTGATCATGCTCTGTCATATGACAACTTGAAAGAAAACAGGCTAATCTCCTACTGAGCCAACTCTCACACACTTCACTTTTCACCCGTACACGACCGGTCTTGAATGTTATATGTCTTCACTATTTTCCGAAGCAACAAAGTGAAGATGTTTTTGCTAAACTTCTACTGTTGTGCGTTTGAAGTGGACTTGACAAAAGTTGTACATATATGACAGTTACAAGTGTTGAGCATGCAATGTTCTTCTTATAGCACCTAGAATGTTCTGAACCACTCTGCTAAGAAATTTTCTTTGAGCTCTTGCATTTTCGACGTAAATTTTGGCCGCGTGCGTGATGTATTTTGGACTTCTGACTGTCAAAAATTCAGCTGTCTGTCAAGAATAGCCGAAAGACATTTGAAGTGAACAGCCTTGTCTTGGTATACATTTCATTCAATCTGCACGCTTGTAATTGGTGAAAGATTACGGTAGCTGATGAATCACGTGATATCCAACTCAAAAAAATAGAGCGATCAATTATTCAAAAGTGCTCTCTTTCTTTTCTCATAACTTTCCTCGCGCTCCGTCTCCTTCTTTCCACCACTCCTCCTTCCCTCCCCCCCCCCCCCCCCCCCCCGCCTGTCAACTCCTTCTCTCTATTATAAACATCCTCCAAATTGTATCGTGTCTGCATTGGTTAAAAATGTGATACTATGATGATAGTTTTTTTAATTTTTTTTGCCTTGGATGAATGTCTTGTCTTTATGAGTAATGCTAATTTTTTACAAGATTTGCATACTTTACAAAAGGATGCATTTCTCAAGTTTTTTTTTTTTGCAACTTGATGAGTTTTCTTTCTTTTTTAGCTATGCTGCTTCTTCACCAGATTCACGTACAAAAGCACCGTCTGAGATTTTATAGGTTGAACCCTACGATTGTTGATATACGTTAAACCTATATTTACCGATCGCGTTTTTACTCGTGAATTTATGGCTTCTATTATTCGCCTAAATATTCGTTTGACCCAAATAGCGCATCATAGCCAGTGAAGATTATAGGATACGGGATACTTAGGGCTTGAGCAGTTAAAAAAATCTTGATGCCACAGCCTCTTATTTTTCAAAATTGTTATCCATTTTGTGTTTATATGAATTAGAGCTTAGCTTAGAGCTTAGTATCACATTTTGGATAAGTAATTGAGCCATATCTTAGGAAAACTGCGTGACCGTCACAGTGACTTACAGATCGCTGCAGTAATTATGTAGCTTTTTTCTGACGTGAAGCAGCTAAGGGCTTCGTTTTGTTCTAAAAATGGGCGCACAGATATTGATTCAATTCTCAAAAACTGGGTGACGTCAAGTTAAAAAAATACCTTTGACAAAACCCCGAGTTTTCTCTGTTCTGTGTACTTCAAAAAAATTTTTTGTTTTAATAATCTATTGAACCTTTTGAAGAAAACTTTTGAAAAGGTTTTCTCAAACAGAACAGTTAATTTTATTTGCTTTGTCTACGTTCATTTTCTCCTTTGTCTCCCAAACCCTGCCGATGTTCCTCAAAAAACCCCGATCTTTGGACCTCACAGATTCCTTCACGGCCGCTCACCTCTGATTAGCCCCATTCCTCCGAGATCTCCTCCCAGCTCCGGTCACTGTTCTACAAGACCAAAATCCTTTTCTTGGTTCGAGATAGATTATTCTGACATTTTGTATTCCTATGTGGGGAGGGCATGACCCACATGTTCCAAAAAACATGGGATAAATCGCAAATAATCCGCTTCGTCAATCTCATTCAAAACAACATCGCTTTGCTGCTATGGTTAGCCTTCAGCTATTGTAATTTTCAGAAACTCCATCAAATTTCTCTCCATTTATTCCACGAAAAGTTCATCATTGATTTTTACTGCCAAAATGACTCTTTCTTAGACTCTCAACAGTCTTCCCTCTTGACCTTCATCAATTTGACTCTCATAATAAATTGACCTTTCACCTCAGTCATAAAAGAAAAAAACAGGTCCAGCTCTTCGCCAGCTACCTACCCTTACCAACCTTGTGGTAAAACTCAACAATTACTACACAAAAGAATGCCTACTTCTTAATAAGAAATTGACTGACTGCGTAAATCTACTGTAACTGTGTTCATTGGTTTTTCGTCCTATTCGTCCCATGTCAATGATTTTTTGCTGTATTCTAGATGATCTACCTCCTCATACTGTTAATGTTCGTTGCGGTAGTAGTTGCTCAGTCAGAAAGCCCTCTCACATCGGCAAAAATGGACGAGCTGATCAGCTCTGCGGACGATCTTGTTCGCGACTATGGAGACGTGCATAGCCGACTGACCACAAAGGTTAATGTTACTAACGTTAATAGTTGATAAGTGATGTCTATTATTGATCATAGAAATGTTAATATACGACTTTTTATTTAATATTAGATTGGCACGAAAGTTCTTGCGTAATTCAAACAAAATTCAATAACTTTTCAAAGACTAAACCTAAATTCACAATCTTGTATGCTAAAAATATTAGAAGTCTTACGCTTCATGATGGATGTTCAAGCGTAAGATTCCGTGAGCTGGACATCAAGAACGAAGCTCTCGAATATGGCGCTTCAAATTTTGAGATTTTGAATTTGGTGCCAGAAAACCGCAGAGTGCCGCTAGCTAGCCGAAAAAAAATCTGTAGAATTTACTTGCACAACAAAAGTCCATATGTTACTTTGGAAGGCTTTGATCTTGCACGGTGAAGCAAAAACAAAAAATTCGTGAAATAAGTCCTTTTGCGGAAAAAAATCCCATCATGCCCGCAGTTTTCCGGCGAAAACACTTTTTTACAATCGAGAAAACGTCGCAAAGCTCTAAATAGGCACTATATCTAATTTCTGGTTGCAAACTGTGTTTCTGTGGAAAAGTTAGAGCGATAAGGGGATTTGCCCTGTGAAATGAGAATTTTCACAAATTTTTTATTTTCGCGTTTCCATGCGAGATCAAAGCCTGCTAAAACAACGTATGGTTAGCTGTGTAAGTAAATTCTACAGATTTCTTTCGGCTAGCTAGCGGCACTCTGCGATTTTCTGGCACCAAATTCAAAATCGCAAAATTTGAAGCGCCATATTCGAGAGCTTCGTTCTTGATGTCCAGCTCACGGAATCTTACGCTTGAACATCCATCATGAAGCGTAAGACTTCTAAAATTTTTAGCATACAAGATTGTGAATTTAGGTTTAGTCTTTGAAAAGTCATTGAATTTTGTTTGAATTACGCAAGAACTTTCGTGCCAACCTAATAGGTGTCCATTAACTGTTGAACTAATGAGATAACATCCGGACTCCGTTTTCTTTCCCTTCGACGGAGTATAGGATCTCCAGGCTCTCGCCCGCAACTCTTCAGTAAGGAAGGAGAGCCTGCGATATCCTCCAATATTTCTCGAAAGTCTTTGAATAATTCCATGAAACCGTGAATAGATGTCAAGACGGCATGTCGGCTCAAAAGTTCTGGGACATTTTCAGTTGAGGTCTGCTATTTCTCGAAGCTTGATGCATGTACATCCGACGGTGGTACCATTCGATAGAGCAAAGCAAGCTCTACAAGATGGTATGCAAAAGTTCGCATCATCTTCAACCAGGGCTCGGCACATCTGGCACCGGGTCAAGCTGATATCGTTTTTTGGGGAAAGCAAAGGGGATATCGTTTTTTCGGGGTCCGGGGTTGTTTTCAGCCAAAACGCAATTATGACACCAAACTCGGTGTGTACATGCGCGTTGGGGGATCCGGACTATGGCCCAAAAATTTGTGAAAGCTTACGTGAATGAAAGTCGGGCTGAACTTTTTGCTGAATTAGCTGGCACCGTGCCAGCTGGGTGCCAGCTGAGCTGGCATCGACACTTTGCTCACATAGGTTTCCATACTTTTTTACATAAAATGTATCTACACTGTAAAAGTTTACATACAAAGAGGAAATAATTTCATAATGTTTCCTTTTCAGCGTTTTATAGCCACCTGAAAATCACTCGGTCTGCTCCACAGTCAAAAAGTCGGCTTTTTCTGCTTCCCAAAATGTGATTCAACCACTTAAAAAGCTCAGAAAGCTGTGAAAAGTTATTTAAAATTAGCGTGCATGAAAACCCTACTACATACTTTTACATAATCTAAAAATAATGACGGGTCTTCAGAACAGGTCAAAGGGGGCTTCTACGAAATTTTCGAGATCAAACGGACTTCGTTTTGAAATTTCCTTAGTGCCAGCCCGTGCCGAGCCCTGTCTTCGACCCATCGTAAGTGCATTCAGAATCTGGTCCCAATGAAGATTCGAAAAATTGGGAAAAATCCATTTCTATGTTCAAAATCTTACGGACCTCCAAGTTGCTCAAGCGAATTGCACACCACATCAGAATTCATATGTACCGCTCCTGTATTTATTTCTTCACCTGGAAATCGAGAAAACGAAAGTTCTCATGTTTATACAAACGAAGCAACACTTTTCCCACTCATGCATTTGTATAGTAGAAGCCATAGAAAGTACAACCGTAAATTTTCAGCTTTCTACAGGTTAGTTTCCAAAAATCACCAAAATGAGCTCTCCTTACTCGGGGGTTCCATGCTAATCAATATATTTCGAAAATTAGGGCTTGGGGAAAGCTAAAAATCTACGGTTATGCTTCTAAGGGCTTGTAGCATACAATTACATGGGTGGAAACAGCACAGCTTCGTTTTTGTATGAGCGCGAAAATTTACGTTTTCTCGGTTTCTAGATGAGGAAAAAATACAGCAATGATACATATGGGTGTCTGATGTGGTGTGCAATTTGCTGAGAAAGCTGTGATCCGTAGGATGTTTCCGAACGAAGATAAGAATTTTTCGAGCCTTCGGTACGACTCGGATTCTGGAGGCAAACTTGGGTGGGTCAGCTGGTGCGAGCATTTGCATACCATCTTGTAGAGCTTACTTTGCTCTATCGAATGGTACCTCTGTCGGATGTACATGAATTAGTCTTCGAGAAATAGCAGATCTCGTCTGAAAATGTCCGAGAAATTTCGAGCCAACCTAATAGTAACTACTTGAAGCCGTCCACCCAAAATTTCGACCTCCATTTTTCTGCCGTTCCAAGGCCTTCTCATACCCCTGATTCCGATATCAAGTCGAAAATCCGCGAAAACCACGAAAAATCCCCGTTTTCAGAATTCGCAGAGCGATTTCTTCGGTACGGTGATTGGTTGGGCGCGCACGGATGGGCGGGACGAACGTCACGCCCACTCCGAAAAGGGAGGAGCCAGCGTCGCGAACGCGGCCTGAAGCGATTTCCGAAGCAATTTTCTCGGTTCGGAAGCAACTTCAGGCAGCGCGAATTGGGCAATCATACAGTTGGGGGCCCCGCATCTGCTAGGTATCATAATCTCATCAACCCCAATTTGGGTGGACGGTGCCTTTAAAGGCAGTGGATCGGCAGAATGGATCCCTGTCAGATTTTGAAAGTTTCAGGTAGTATACCTCCAAGTACACCGTAGCCCCAATCCCATCCTCCAACTCGTGCGAAGTTCTGTAAAGGAAACTAACTGAAAAGGAAAGGAAGCAGCGCTTCAAACTTCCACCAGCCCCGCCCACTTACATTGAGTGGGCGTGTCACTGGTGAAATTTTGAAGCGCTGTTTTCAGGACTTAGCATGAATTGAAGGGTGGGATTGGGGCTACGGTGTACTTGGGGGGGGGGGGGGGGAGGGTATACTACCTGAAACTATCATCTAACAAGGGCCCATTCTGCCGATCCATTAACCTATTACTATTTAAGTAACCACCTGACCCTAAAATCAATGAACCTTATACTTATCAATGATGCTCTCAATTAGTTTCATTCTGACAGTAAACGCGTTACATATATAAATTTGGCAAGAGCTGTTTTACACGATATTAGGTGAAGTGGTTTAGAATAACGGATCGCTGGCGCCCCCCCCCCCCAAGAATGGGTCGCAAAATTTTTGAAAGTTACTTAAATGTGCTATAAAAATGTGCAGAGAACTTGTTTACACTTGCAAATAATTAGAATAATTTTTAAAAAATTTTAAAAATTCAAATCAGCCATGTAAAAAAAGTTTTTCGGGGCGTGGCTGCTGCCGCAAAGCCTAATGTATAATGAAGTATTATAAGCATATTCAATTTGATGAGTAATACCATCTAACGTAAAATTTTGAGCCACAATATATTTTCCATTACCGTACAGCAACCGTAATCTCAGGGTCCTTACGTGGTAAGATGATTGATATTCTAGCCATATGGCCATGTTGCAAGTTCCAACAAAGTTTTTGATTTTGAAGACCTAATCATATGCTGCTTGCGGTGATCCTAATTTTCAAAAACAAGCCTACTCGTAGAAAAAATTTTTAATGATAGAGAAATTTGATTACATTGTAGACTTATCTATCAAAAACATCACTGACGAGTTGCCTTGACCAAGAATTTATATAAATCAGTTTTTGTTATTCAATCCTCTGTTCATCTAAGTTTATAGCATTTGTTATAACTAATTTCATCTCAGGTGCGAACCCGACTTGTGATACTACTCCTACAACTTATACCAGCCGAGAAAGAGGTGGACCGGTTAGGAGATGCAGATCTCAAGCAAAAGGTATGAACCAGTCAGATCAAAACAAATGAGGCAAAATCCCCTTCTCTATCAATTTTCAAAACCAGCTAGTTAGATTCATATCATATTTCTTTCCAGTTCGACAACATTATCCTCCTTCTGGAAAAGAAGTTGAAGATCAAGTACACCAAAATCAAGGAGGTAAGAAACGATGACTTGGGATGCAAAAAAAAAGGATTTTATTTCAGCGCCTTTCCAACATCATTACTCGATTCTTGGAACCCATGATGGTCCCATTGACTATTATGCAAGTACCAAGTCAAGAAGAGATACAACAAGCTCTCGTGGCATTCGAAAATATCCCACCTTCATGGAGAGGAGGAAATCGGGCGCGAGCTGCACTTACAGCACTTAGAGAAAATACATCTCAAAATGAAGTACAGCCAGCCCCCGAAAAGGTCCTGCCTTCCAAACAAGTTCCACAGAATTCCCAGCTTCAAACTTTGGAAGTTCAACCTTCCCAGACATTTCCGACAGATTGGACACAGGCTCAACCACCTCAGCCTCAGCAGTTCAGTCAACCCCAATATCTCTCAACTTCTCAAGAACTTGTATATCAACCAGTATCCCCAAATTACTTCTCTGATAAGCGCTATGCTCGAGAATACGATTATACTGGCAGTAATAGCATTACCAGGCCATCCCAGCCGTACTACTTACCAACTTACCAGTACAACTCATACCAGCCTACCCTACAGTATCCACAACCGTATTATTGGCAACAACCCGTGCAACAAACACTACAACGTCAACCAGCATACTATTGGGTCTATCCCAATGGCAGGATCTATTACGATCAAAATCAGTACTATCCGTATTGATTTTCTACCATTTCGTAATATTTATAAAGCCAATAAATATTAAATAACAACAGCTATCGAAGATCACAATCGCACACTCAATGCTCAATTTCAAACCAAAAATCCACTGCAAAACAGATACGCACAAGCTTCGATCAACAACCAATCAGTAAATTAAAAATCACAGCGGACTGACCTAATTTTAATCGAAGATTACATCCATGTAAACACCTTGATGTATATGTGTAAAGTTCTGAGATAACGGTCGACAATGATGCCACTTTCAACAAGATAAATAAAAAAGAGAGAAAATTATGAGATGAAGAAGCTATAATAGTTACCAGTAACATCCCGCAACCTCGTAGAGGTCTCTTAGAATAGTCCCTAAAAATATCTAACCGTAACAAAACCACTAAAGTTCCTCTTTCGCAGCCTCCTCAGCTCTAACAGCTTCTTCCTTCTTCTTTTCTTCTTCCTTCTCCTTCTTCTTCTCTTCTTCCTTCTCCTTTTCTGCTTCCTCCTTTGGTTGTTCTCCTTCTTTGGCCTTTTCGCCCTCCTTCTCGCTTTCCGTAACATTTTCAGCCTTTTCTTTTCCATCCGCGTCTTTCTTCTTCATCATCTTCTCCAAATCTTCAAGTTTTGTCTGACGCATCTTCTTCATGAACAATCCGAGCTCTCGGTCCAAAGCTTTCAACTGCAAAAACAAAGGTAGAGTGTTTTCAACAGAGGAATACCTAATATTACGATCCAATCAACAAAAGAAAAGATCATGAGCATTGGTAGAGGCATCCGAACAGCGCGAATTTTCTTTTTTGAATAAAGTCTCATGGAACCAGAGAAATCGAATTCGTTCAGCAAACATTGTGATGATTTTGACTATCAGAATTTGCAAAAAAGCATTTCAGTGTTTCCCTTCAACTATATCATTCGATGTGCCAACGAGAAATAATCCGATCATTCCTACACAGTGCAATATTTTTAATCACCAAAAAAGCTTGAAATGAGTCAAACTCGTGAATTATCAGAATTTGCAAAAAAGCATTTCACTGTTCCCCTCCATCAGCTATATCATTCGACTAGCTGGCTTACCCGGCTCCGCCGTATATTCCGAATAGAATAGCCTATGACACCCGCCGGGGCCCGAAGTGTATGTGTGCCAAGTTTGGTCCCGATCGGTTCAGAAATGGAATTTTCTATTCGGAACATACGTACAGACAGACATACATACATACATACATACAGACAGACAAACAGACATTCAGCTTTATATATAAGATGTGTCAACGAGAAATAATCCAATCATTCCTACACAGTGCAATATTTTTCACCAGCATGTTTCGAATCCAGGATTAAATGAAAATGAAGGAGATTACGAGTTTTCAGAAATTTTGATACATGACTTACGTATCAACCTAATGCTTATGCTGAATTACCTCATTTTCCTCAGCAAAATACATACCTTGGCAGCCACTTCACTGGTAAGCAGCGCTGGATCTTCATTAGGTTTTCGTTTCGCTTGTTCTTCTTTCTTTTCCGTAAACCAGCTTTCTAATCTATCTAGCTTCTTGGCAAATGCGTCGGCATCCGACTAAAAAATGGAACTCAAATGTGCACATAATACGCAGTGGGTGATATTAGTGTTACCTTGTTGAATAATGACTTCTCGTCATCTCCACCCATATTTGCCATAATTCTGGATGAGTTCAGAATAGATTCCAGATTTTTGATTGCCTCTGGTAAAGTCTGAAAGTTTTAAAAATACCGATACGCACTTTATGCAAGAAAAGCAAGACATACCTTCGCCTCTTCAACTCTCCGCAGCACTGGTCGGACAAGCGCTTTGAGAGTCACATGGTTTTTGGTGAATTCTGCAGTCTTTGTGTCCGGCGTAGTATCATCTTCAAGCCAAGTTCGGATGCGCTTCGTCTGAAAGTCATCACAAAGCATTCACTTCATACAATCTAGTAAACTTCGAATTTCAACAAAATACTGAAAGTAAAGTTTGACTGGAAAACACCATGAATGAAAACATCGATTTTGGATTATGATCGTAAAATACTGACACAACAAGTTCCGAAAATATGACAGAAGAGAAACGAAAAAAGAAACATGACGAAAAGTACAACGAAAACACTCATTACCTCTTCACCAATCTTATTCCTCTCATCGTCTGTAGAATGCAGCACAAAGTTTTCGTTATCCAGTAGCTGGCTAACCTCGAACGCATAACCTTCAAGATCATTCTCTGCAGCTGCCCGCTCTCTTGCATGCCTTTCACGCTTTTCAAATTGCTCCAAACTAAAAAAAACGCTTGAAATAAAACATCCAGTTCTGGAAAAAAATTACATTTTCTTCGATTCGGCTACTTCTGCCTTGCTCATCAGATGCGTAGTGGTGATGATCTGTTCTGTCTTCAACGCTACCCTCGATATTTCTGGGATCTTTTTCTTTACTTCAGCAGTGGCATTTTTCTGAATTCTACGATTAGGAGATGGAAGCCCAGAAACTCTCATTTATACCTCTTCCTTCTTGCTCGCCGTCTCCTTCTCGTCCTTCTCTTTTGTTTCACTGCTAGCATCTTCTTTAGATTCATCCTTCTTTTCCTCTTTCGGCTTTTCTTCTTCTGCGCTCTGATCCGATTTCTCCTGCGCAGTTTTTTCTTCCTTTGAAGACGCATCTTCGGTTACAACTTTCTCTTCATCCGATGATTCTTCATCCTTTCTCTCTTCGGTCGTCGGTTCTCCTTCCTCTGTTTTTGACGAAAAGAAGCCACTGATTGTTTTCGTAATAGCTGAAATACTATAATTAAAAAAACATTCAAAGTGAATTTGCACCATAGGACCCCTCAAAGAAGCATTCTAAAAAGACCCCATAAAATCCCAAAAGAAAGCTGAGGTTCAAGGATCTCGAACAAAGGGCGTAATTCCCATATAAACGTGCTTACGACTTACAAGACAGCAAACTTGGATCACCACCTGTGCCGGCTGAACAAGAAGAAGTGAGAAATAATAACGGGAATTAAGCAAGAGTCATGACAGCTCAGTGCATGATGCATTCATGAACCACGAAAACTTTGCAGCAGAGAGGTAAAATCCGCAAAAACTCCCTTATAAGCAGGGGGAAGAAACACTCACTAAAGTTATTGACTTACATTCTACAACTCCCTGGCTTTTACGCTGTATAACAGCTTCAGCCTTTTCTATTTGACATATTCCAGATAAGTCCATTTGGAAAGCGACCTGAGACAATTTTTAGAGCGAACTGGAACAACTTCAATAACATCAACCATACCTTCACTCCCATAAATTCCGTCTGATCTTTTTGCATCTTTTCTTCAAGCGCCTTAGCCAAACCGGATACGGACACAGTAGTTAAATGAGATGTGAGATTGTCAAATTCTCTGCAATATGAGAGGATGGAGCAGCGACCATGAGCAAGGCAATAAACAATTCACTTTAGCTGCACTTCGTTGAAGTGAGTGAGGTCAGGATAATTGAGATCAAATGAGAAATCGTCAGTGTAGGAGGTAAATGTGATGGTCTGAAAAGTCTATGATAAGAGCAAGCATTGATCTCTAGCAAAATTGCTGCAGATGTTGTAACCATATAAATGAAACACATCTTGCTAGATCTTTTGACTGCCGACTAAAATTCATAACAATTCTGGTCTAGTTTGCAGTCAAAAGTGTTATAAGCTATAATTCCGTTTCTTTAGATCTAGAACTCAAACTAGCACCACAATTTCAAAAATTGCAAAAAAAAAACTGTAGCCCACTGACAGCGAAATATGACATTGAAAAAACATTTGAACGCTAGAGACGATACCTTTTTGGGTGTAGGATAAATGCTCTTGTACTGGAACACCTGTCGAGTTATTGGCTTCTCGATCACTTCACCGTTTTCTTGCTTCTGTCGACTTATAAAGTTCACCTAGAAGTTTCGCCAGATCACTCAACAACTACCAACAACGATAAAATTAAATAGTAAAAAGAAGTAGAAAGATAAGTAAGGGAAAAGAAGCAGATCAATTATAATCAATCAATTTCAAACTAACTTGTACAGGGTGTATTACCAAATCCTCTACTCCGAAAGGCTTAACCTTGAAGCCCTTGCTGAGGTGAGCAGCCTAAACAAGAACATCTAGCGAGCGTACACAGAGCAGATTACAAACTGTTTACCTGGAATAATGCTCCCATCGCTATGGCTTCATCTGTGTTCAGAAAGCGGCCCAGCTCCTTGCTAGATTTATGATTAGATGAGCAGAAGGGTAGGAAGAAAATTAATGAAACGATGATGAAGCATACCTTCCGACAAATTTTTGCAATTCTTCTTGTACTCTCGGTACACGAGTACCAGCACCCATCAATACGATCTGGTCTACCTATAATGACAAATGAGTTCCGAAGTCTTTGGAAACTTTCGTGCAAAATTTACCTGATCCATAGTCAGCTCGGCCATTTTCAAAGCTTGCTCTATTGGAGCGGGAACTCGTTTCATCAAACCGTCTATCAGACTATTGAACTCGTCTCTGGTCACATGAAGCTTCATATCTATATCTTCATGAATGCTTTCCACTTGGGCATAATGCTCCGGATTTGCGCTGAGTACCTGAACGTGCGCGCAATTTGAGACAGTTGGGGAGAAATGGGCATCTGGACTTCCTAAGCATGCGCAGAAAATAATTGGAAGGCCTTGACTAAGCCATAAACCAACGACAGTTCCTAGATTAAATTGCGGCCGAAAAAAAGCTAACTCTGAATTCCGGTCCAGACCGTAACTTTTCCTATTACGAGTGTCGAAATTAGCGAGGTCTAGGATGCAGTATAGAGGAGAAAATCCAGCCACTAATCTACCATATGACATGCCGACTTCGGTATTGAGTAATTCCTACAGCGCGACAAAGGGATTCAAGAATTAGAAAAAATCTAGCAAACTAGCTCACCTGTTTCAACCTTTCCGCTTCCTTCAACATCTTCGCCATCGCTCTTTCGTTAGTAGTGATGTCTTTCTGAGTCTTATAATGCGCTTTGAACATTTTCACCAGCAGATCTCTCAAGCGTAGCGTCATTTCCAGTCCGCCAAGCGTACGATCGAATCCAACTCCAAGTACAGTCAACTAAACGCCACTTTTCACAATGAAAGCTAACCCAGTCACAACAATAAAAGTACCAGAAGTGAGAACAAAAGAAGCGGATGCAAAAAACATTCTGGAAATTACCTTAGGTTCCTTTCCATTCTTTGCCTTAGCCAACCTATACTCCACAAGAGTAGCAACTGTCTTCGAAGCTCCCATATCGTAGATCATGAGTCGCTGTGGCTTCTCGGTGATCTCTTTTTGCCGAAAAACACCATAATCCAAAGCGGCTGCGGTTCCATCATTTATTAGCTGGAAAGAAGTTAAATGAAAGATATTAGGTCGTCCCGAAAGTTTTGTCGGTTTTTTCAGACACTATAAGACCACGCGCAATGAAGACCTGAATGAGTTTTAATATGCGTTCGACGCAGCTTTTCAATCTCTTTCTTGTGGTTACATCTTCGAACCACGCTCCTGTATGCTTTCTTTGATAATTGCTGAAATTCTTCACCCGTTATTTTTGTCTGCTCAGAGTTCGGCTAATTTTTGAAAATTTCATTTCAAGGTCTCGGAAAGGGTCAAGTAAAGATTAAACAAAGCAATTCTCGAACTACAAGATGATACTTTTAGATTCCACTAATCTGCTGATTTTCGCTTCAAAAAATTATTTCTTCGGAGGTCTCGATTTTTGGCAGAGTCATGAAACACGCAACTGCAGCAAATACACGAAAGTTTAGGAGTTTCTGCGAACTGAAACATGATACTTATTGAACACCATTTATTCAACATTACCCAATTTGACTTGCTTCAAAAAAGCAGCTTTTTGGAATTTTCGGTACTTTTACGTGGCGAACGTAATCAAGAAGCCGCGGTTTTTATTAAATAAATGATTATAACGGACCTGGTAAACGTGACTCACGTAATCTAATATGGGTTAATGTAATCAAAGCTTTCCTCTACATAACAGTTACCAGCACTCCTTAGAAGTGTCACGATAGAAATTTTAAAATTCAGGAAAGGTTTGGCGTTACTATTGAGCTGCTCAAAAAGCCGGCGATAGCGATAACATTGCAAAGACAGGGTAGGTCAGAGAGCAAATATAGCTGTAAGAAAGAAGATGAAAATCTATAACAAATGGTACCTAGAAAGTTTATGGACTGGTGTTCTGTGAGTTTTAGTGAGCGATGAAAAAACCGACAAAACTTTCGGGACAACCTAATATATGTATAAGATTCGAAAAATCTAAAAGAGAAAAGCAAACTCAAAATCTATTCATTGTGTGACTAAAAATACTAGCTTGAACGAAACTGACAGTCAAAGATGAGAAATCTACGAAGATTCTGAGCCTTTTACCTGCAATACGTTCAACTTCGCTATCTCAGCCGCTTTTGTAATGACCATACGTTCTGGTTGTGTAAAAAAAGCAGGAACGCTGATGACTACATCACGAATGCTTTGCTGGAATACACCCTTATTGGTAACACGAACTCATACATACTGAAAAAAGCGGGATCTGCAGGAGATACTGCCACTGACCTCCGCATAAGCTTCTGTGAATTCTCGCACATGAGTTAGCATCATGGCCAAGAGCGTTTCTACGGGATAATTGATGTCGCTAAACAATTCATACATATATCTTCGACAGATTTCACAGACGTTGAGGTAGAAGAAAGCCCACCCTATCGGGAAAACCACTGCACTATTGTTGACATGCTTCTCCAACTTCAGATGTGGAAACCGTTGTCGATACATTTCTACTGATGGATGATTGACATGCTTCGCAACCAAGTCGTAAAGATGACTATAAACGCTGGCCGGATATCGAGCAGCCAGGCCCTGAGCCGCATCCCCAAAGAGCCTAAACAAAAATTTTGAAGGACATTATGATGATGATGCACGAACAAAATACCTTTCACCATTTCGAATAGATAGCACATTCGGTGTTTTTCGACGGGATTCTTTGTTGAGGACGATTTCCATAGGTACTCCAGGCTTTATGAAACCAACCTGCAAATTTCAACTCAAGTTCAAGTAGACTCAGAAGCAACATTTTCATATTGAAAGCTATGTAAGGAGCTCACTTTTATAAATTGACTACCCAGATCAATCGACATAGCACCATATTGTCCATCTGCAGAAAAGGAATAAAGTCATAAGGAAATCAAAAAGTTTAACATTATAAAACTTACCGGCACTAGATGCCAACAATGAAAGAACCAAAAATGCTAAGCTTAACGTCCTCCACCGAACGTCGCCCATTTTACCCGCCTAAAAAAACAGATAACACAGGACTGGGAATTTGATGATTTTATAGAGGGCGCTTTCCACAATATCGATAGAGCAGCATGGAAGGCACAAAACATGTACTACAATCGATCTACTGGATCCAGAAATTTCAGAGATAAATAAGCACGTACACATAGAAAAGTACAACTGCGAAAGTTGCAATCGATGCGAGAAGAGAAAGAGCGGATATTCAAATACGGAATTGCGCAAATCAAAGCAGAAATGAAAGTCGTAAAGACGACGTATGGGATTATGTACACTTTCCTGGATGATACCGCGTAACACTATGAAAACAACATCGTATAACATATTTATGCGACAGTGCGGCGAGATAAAGTGAGTCACAAGTCAATTGAGAACTCAAGTAACAAAAAAGCGATAACATTGGCCTTGCTTCATACAGCACAACTTCATTTGTAGAAGAGAAAAAAGAGAAAGCAAATGAAAATGAAAACTAACGCATAATTCGAAATCCTATTGAAAGTAACAGGGCACACCTAAAATCAACTTATCAAAGAGCAACAAAAAATGGGCGCAAAAAGTGGCAACATTTCTGAACAGGGATAGCAGAGTCCAAAAACGCTTTCTCCCAAAAGAAAATATCATTTATGTTAATGCTTGTAATCCAACTAAGTAGGTGATAATATTTTTTGCAGTGTTAAAGATGAGTAAGAATCTAATAGAGGTAAAGACGGAGATTGTAGGGGTGCACCAAACGGAAGCGCGAGATAGTTAGGAAAAAAATCATCAGTAAATGGAGGAAAAATTGGAAATAAGACGACGAAAGCTTAAATTTCAAAATATTACGTATATACATTTATATATACCATATATACCACTGTAACCTTCCACTAGCTTACTATTTTTGCTCAAGATTTTGCAGCCTTTGTATCAACTGTCCTCCAAATCGTTGCCGATAGGATGGCGATACGGTATCAAGTAGCTGATTCAGCGATTCGAAATATTTCGTATGCATGCTGAGTTGTCGAAAATCACCGTTCATGCAGTCGGATCGATTGCTGGCAATCCGCCAGCCTTTGCCTGCAACCGCCCAGTAATTCGTATGATGTGTTAGCTTAAAGCTTCAACATTTTGAAAGCAGTCTTTAATAAAGACGTGACAAACAGAGATTGTTCACCATTTCAAAGAAGGAAAACATCTTAAAGAAAGGAAAAAGATGCAGCAAACAACAAAATTTTTCTTTCTTCAAGGTAAAAGCGTTCGTGACAATAGTGAAGGAGAATAACCTACCAGTCAGCTCAATGCAGTAAGTCACATGTTCCAAAGTCGTTAGGTTCAAGAACAACAATTCGGGGGTACGTGGCAGCATTTCAGAGAGACAAAGAGACTGTACAGCAAACGAAAACTCGCGAACGGCAGCCAGTGCCTCTTCTTCTAATTGCGATCGTACATCACAATCACAGAGTCTAAAATCAATTGATCAAACGCGAGCTTGGAAAACAGAAATTTATTCCGTATGCTCTAACAAATGACAAATAGGTTTAGAATGTCATTATGCACTTTTCTAGAAAATGATGAATTAATTAATGAATCGGGACTTAGCACAGAACGTTAAAAAATACCCACGTGGCAATACCATTATTGCGCACAGCTGAAGCTGGCGGCATGACCGGCGATGTGGGAGGGGTGTTCGTTGAAGTCGCATTCGCATACGGGCTCGAATCACTGTTAGATGTTGTATTCGTCATCCCTCGACCTAAGTAAATCTTACATAGTCCGTGAATGGTAGATGGGCTATAGTCAGGCGTGATCAACGCAGATAATGCACAACCTGCAGCATGCGGGGCGCGCTGCCGCTTGCGCATTATCTGCGAGCGCGGTAGCATAGCATTCTTTTTTACGCGTTCTTATCTGGTTAAGCGCTCGGTCACAATGCAGGCAGCTTATAAACTGTAAGCACTACTACTGAGTCAGCATAAGGGTTTTACTGACAAGGGAAGGATACCAACATTGGTTGGCAATTGAAGATGAGATGAGATGTATATCATTAGATGCGCCTTTGAACGCTGATTCCAAATCTGCTTTCCTTTTTTGCGGAATAAGTTTCCGAACGAAGTTATGAGCGTCTGAATGCCAAGATTTGCTAAGCATTGAGTGGCTTACAATCAGCGAAAAGCTCTAGAACAACACCTATGCGATTTTCAACGGCTTTGTTCCTTTGCAAACAATATACTAGTACAAAAATGATTTTCCACTTTCCGGTGTTTTTGTACAGCTTTCGCCAACTTTAAGCCGCCTAAACCTTGACAAATTTAGACATTTGAACTTCTTTCGAACACAACTTCTTTCGAAAACTTGTTCAGCAAAAAAGGAAAGCAGATTTGGAATCAGCGTTCAAAGGCACGTCTACTGGTATACATCGCATCTTCAATCGCCGACTAGTGTTGGTATCCTTCCCTTGTGAGAGCTATACAGTGCAACGATTATTCCAACTTCCTTGAACAATTATTCTGCATAATTCCGCATGAAATAGAGTCTGTGTTAGAATACAACTTGAAGTGTGTCCTATCTACAAAATTGAATGGCAGGGAACATCAAAAATAATGAAAGATTGCCATGAAACTGAATGCATGGGAACTAGAACGATAATGAGAATAATGCGATATCCTAGAGTATCGATGGAGGAGCAGGAGACGGTCAAGAGGCTCGGTTTCTATAGAAAACACCAACTTGACAGCCCAATTCAAAGCTATGCAAGTCTTTTAATGATACCAGGCAAAGTGCTCTAGCTTAGTAACTATCTGAAGCTACCAATTTCTAAGTTTTGGCGTTTGGGAAAATTTGGTTGAAATACTCACGAAAACGCCATTATTTGCATTTTCACAGGTTTTTGACCTTTCAACACCAATGTTTCGAATCTACTTCAAAGTGATAAGATCGAACGGCCCATGGGACAATCACAAATCTCTTGCTGTAAATTTATTAAATTGCTCCTAGGACATCACAAAATACTAAAAATACGCTAATTAGTGTCCATCTGGCAATAAAAATTGCGCCTCTAGACATAAACCCAAGAAATGACCCCAGTGAAGAATCTCATCCTTATACAAGATGAAAGTAGGCAAAGTACTGAACTATAAGGGTTCTAAAGAGTCTAGCGTCAAACAAAAGTAAAACGAAAGCGTAAAAACCTTGCAACTAACTGCGCGTAGGGATTCAATGATAGTGTGGAGGGATACATGGAATGAGAATCAGAGAATGGAACACTGAAAGCCCTTTTACCAATTTATTTGACATTGTGCAGTAACGACCAGTCACACTTGGCAAAATGCCACGAATGCATGACTGGAGCGGAACGTCGCAGGAGAGCGCCGAAGTCGCAAATTTGCATGTGTTTATTGTTTTCAAAATGGTGGTTCGTTGTTTTGATATTGCCAATTGCTAGGAGTTGCAAACCATATGGCTAGCTAACGGGCTTTAGATAGGGTTTCTAGACAATTCCATTGGTTCACTTGCTTCGTTGCTTGGAAAAAAGTAGCAATAACTTTTGAATTTTCAGCGGAAACGCCTTTTTCCAGATATGACAGTGGAAGATGAGGGGATAGAAGCACATTTTGAAGAGCAAAATGAGCCAGGGAAGAACAAGAAGAAAAAAATGAAGATTGCAACAAACTTGAAGACGAAGCAAGCAGAAAATATAACCCAGGCGAATGATGTTGCACTAAAGAAGAAGAAGCAGAAACGAAAAGAAGATTTGGATGTAAGTCTGAAACCTTTATAATTTTTGAAATTTTTTTGGAAAATGCATACTGGTCCTAGTTTTCTTTGGATCGTAGCGTGCAAAATTAGTTAATTTCCCAACCCACAATGAGCACTCTGCCTTCTAAGTCCTCATGACACCAGAAGAAAAATGAGCTATGGGCATACTTCTCAAATCGCCATAGTAACATCAACTTTTGCTTTCTTGTTCAGCCAAATTGCAACAAATTATTAGAATGCCATATTTAGAAAAACGATGGCGAGTCCGACGAAAAAGTTGTTACGGAAGCGAAGAAGGAGTTGAAGCGAAAACGCATTGAAGACGCGCATGGGAATGTCTCTGAGTCGGTAGTTTCTGAAAAGAAGGTGAAACTTGAGGGACCACTGAAATTGGCAATAGATCCTGCATCCCTGGCAGCTAGAAAGGAAAAAAAGAAGCAGCTCTTGAAAGAGAAACTAAAAGAAGGACTACCGCTCACGGAGCTGATTGGAAAAGGTATAAACGATCTGATTGGAACGAAAGAAGAAGAGGTTCATGAAGTCAGAGAAGAGAAACATCATAAGGAAACTGCAAGTGGAGAAACAGAAACTGTCAAGAAAAAGAAAAAGAAAGTTAAGGTATGTTACCACAAACATAGTTTAATCAATACAGCTTCGCTATATTTTGTATTCAGAAGAATGTAAAGGTCGTAAAGCCCGTCGTTGCTCCGAAGAAGCACCAGCAGTCCTCCTCAGAATCACCTGCACCTCCTGAAACCGATGAAGATAAAGCTGAAGCAGATACCTGGGAGGAGGATAAAATAAAAAAGAAAAAGAAAGTGAAGAAAAATAACACGGACAATCAAGCAAAACAAAAGGAAGATAACAAGGCCGAGCTGAAAAAGAAGAAGCAGAAGAACAAGGCTGCACCAGTGAAGGAAAATAATGTTGAGGAAGGAGAAGAAGGTAAACAAGTCTAATTTTCTGGTTTGTTCGTACTACGTTCGATTTTACATTTTCAGCACCACAGTCAAGCTCAGCTCAACGACCTCAGCATAATCCACAAAAATACAAGGAACTACTCGAAAAACTAGCTTCGATCAAGAAAGAGGGGGAGGTAAGGTTAGAGTTTTTATAGCAACCCTTGTCGGTTAGCTGTCACACTCTTTCTGTATTCCATTATGGTTTTCTATTTTTTTCTGGCATTTATCTTGAAGGAAAGGGGTCGGTGTCTGAAATTATTATGCAAGTTTGAACTTTCTATATAGTTTTCCTTCAATGGTATATGCAAAATAACTTTTTAGAATCTTAATTGCAATGTCCTAGTAGTTTGTCTGACCCTGAGAATTCTATTTTCTTGAAGTCAACTTTCTTCGCCCTAGCCCTTTACAAGTCTCAAAGTGTTGTTCAAATACGTGACTAGATATCTTCAGGCTCGCCAAGCAATCTCTGTCGAAATTAACGCTGGAAAGCTTGAAGACGCAGAGCTCAGGATTGTGTTGAGGATGTGGAGGCAACAAAAGCGCAGAAAGGCAAGCTTCTTCCCAAAATTTACACTTCCCTCTCATTGCACCTTTGTTTCAGATGATAGCTGAAAACAAGGAGAAACTTGTACAAATGGAAGGGTCTCTGGAGGAGATAAAGGCATGTCATTCTTACTTTCTCCTTCCATCAATTACAAAACCATTTTTTTTTCTTTTTTTCATGTCTGCAGTCCAAAATCTTTTTTCAAGTAGCGGAAACCAGCTAAGGACGAAAATTTTTGAAATCAGTTTTTTTTCCAGAAAGTCGCGAATGATCTTGTCCGAAGGGGGAAGCTGAACCCGAGGGATGCAGGTGACATCATAAAGCGATGGAAAGCTCGTGAGAAGCGCCGAGTGGAGCGACAAGTATCAAAACAGACGTGAGCCATGATTATTCATTTCAAAAAGTTTCTTCTTTTTTTGTTTGTGCAAACATTCTGTTGGGAAGGTCATCGATTAGTTCGTTTCTACTTATCTTATTTTTGTGAGCAAACACTTCACTGTTTAGCCATCAATTATTTTTTTGAAAACTTTGACTTCTATGTTTGCGTCTCCATCCTATTTTTTTGATTTGCATCTGAGACTACCTAAGAGATGTTGTTTAGTGGAAGAGCGTGCTTCCATTGCCGTCAGCGAGGCCATGTCTTGGCAGAATGCCCAAATCGCGGTGATGATAATCAGGTTGGAAATGTGGCGATTACGCATGGTGATGGAATCTGCTTTAAATGCGGTTCTACAGAACATAGTGTACATAAGTGTCCGAGAAAGAACATCAAAGGTGAGTAGGAATTCAAGACAAAAGATGTTCGTATCCGATGTGCGAGCACGCATGTGACATTTTGACACAAAGGCACATCTCATACTTGAACGAATGGCGCTTTTTTCACTGGGGATGTCGAGTCTCACAATGTATGCATGAGAAAAGATATTATTGCATTTTCTTTCACATTCTTAGGCTTCGTCCGCTTCACTATAAAACACTCTGATTTTTTTAGCCTCTTTAACAATTATCTTACAAGAACGACCGCAATATTGTTTTCGTTGGCGTTTTTATGCAACTGTTTTAGGCTCTTAGGTTGCTCATATCAGTCATCTGTTTCATCATTATTCTAGGCGTGAATTAGTATTCGTTCAACATGCAAAGACCCGCCGCTTTCTGGCATTTGCTTCTTTGATCGACTTACGGTTTTCGTATCTAGCTGTTCTGGTCATGTTACGCTTTTTCGCTGATTCCTCAACATAATTGAGTTTCGCTACCAGGCACAAAAATCCACGATTTTTGAAGCTTTTTGTTTTTCTCTTAGCGTTGCATCTCTCCAAAGCATGTGTTACACAGCTTTTAGCATTTTAGATGATTATTCAATATTTTTTTGAGTTCGTTACAACTTGATGATTGATGTTTTTCTTTGCCGATGCAGAACTATTTATACCTTGAAATGATAGGTTTCGCATTCACTTCTTGCTGCTAAGATTTTTTTTGATGATTTTTGCTGTCAATCATCGAAAATTGTCTAGCTCTGCTCAAATCCAGTTTATTATCAATTTCCATCGTTCCTATAGGATTTACCTTTGTGTATTGTTTATGGCTGTCGCAATTACAACAGCGCTTCCTCTCAACTTCTCAATTTGGACTTCTCAGCGCTAGAATCTTGTATTAGGCCGTTCCGAAAGTAATGTGCCTTTTTCATATGAACGCCACATTTCATGGAATCAAGATTTCCAATAGATCTTAGAAGCATTCGATGCAGCATTTCATCCTCTTTTGATAATGTTAATCTCATTGCATAATGTTCAAGGAGCTCTCAAAAAATTACCAGAACCTGCGACTCATGATTTTTGTCATGGTCAAGTTCGGCTATTTTTCTATATTTTTGTACTGATTCCCAGAAGATGTGCAAGTAACATATAAATAGAGCAAACCCTATAGGACACAAAACAACTTTTTTCTTCTCCTTAGTTTGCTTCTTAGAGTTTCTGGAATCATTTTTTCAATGCTATCAAATTGCATATTTGGTCAACTCAAACCTCATAAAACAACAACTGGCAGGCAACTCGGGTGTCATTCGACGCAGCTTTTTCTCCTCTTTCACCAGTTGGTTTTTGTCTCCGATTCAGCAAGTTTTCCGGGATAAACTCGTCATAATTCAGGATTTCCAGGGCGCCCCAGGCTGTATCCGGAATTTTCGAAAGTTGCTAACCTGAAGCGGTGAATGCTCCTTTGGTCACTAAAATTAGTGTTAAACCATAATCCTTCTTTGTAAGTTTCAAATTCCGAATATTTATTGGTGTTTGATGCATTTGTGTCTGAGAGGAGTCTGCTTAAATTCGGTGGTTCCATCAAAAAATTTATTCCAAAATTGTGACGAGCTCTGGAAAGTAGAAAAAAAGCTGTGCTGTTTCGTGTGAGGTTTGCTCTATTCATCCATTACTTGGACTTCTTCCAATGGTTGTTATAAAGATTTAGAAAAATTGTGGAACTTGGCCTTCTCAAAAAGTATAGGTTGCAGATTTTGAAAATTTTTCGAGGGGTTATTGAGTTTTGTGCACTGGTTATATAACCAATAGAAAGAGAATGAAATGCTGCATTAAATGCTTCCAGAATCTCTTACACATCTTTGTTCCACGAGATGTGGCGTACGTTTGAAAGAAAGCGACATTACTTTCGGAACGACCTAATAGATTATTATGTTGGACTGAAAGGGACCGGCCATACTATTCCTCTGGTTCCTACAATTCCTGTGATTCTCGTGATTCCTGCGGGTCCTGTAACAATGTATATTGCGAAAAAACAATGCATTTTGAAATTCGCAAAGCGCTCCATAGTGCGGCACATCGGAAGTTGAAGAAATTAGAGGAATTGCAGAAATTACCCTAAAATCCCATAGATAAGAGCGGTATAATTTACCGGTGAAAAATGAAATGGAATGAATTGAAATTGAATGCAGTCACCCCTCTAACTTGATGGATGGATAAATAAAAATCGGAGAAGAAGTTTAGAAGAAGCTCCGCCCCTCAACTCTAAACCCCGCCCACTTAATAAACAGTTCATATAGAAATTCCGAAATTCCATTAAAATCGCTGTTTTTCTATATGAATTGTTTATTAAGTGGGCGGGTAGAGTTGAGGGGCGGAGCTTCTTCTAAACTTCTTCTCCGATTTTTATTTATCCATCCATGTTAGAGAGGTGACTGCATTCAATTTCAATTCATTCCAATTCATTTTCCACCGGTAAATTAAACCGCTCTTATCTATGGGATTTTAGGGTACAGGACGCAGGAATCACCTCCTGGAAAAGTATGGCCAGCCCCAAAAGTGCATCATTCTACTCATTTTCATTTTTTTCGTTGGTGAATTTGATTTGTATTCTTCTCTTCCCTCTTCCCTTATCATTCTCGTTCTTAGTTATTACGCTCTTCCCCTTCCTAGTTAATATTCATTTCACAGCGCGTGATACCCCTTGTTCAGAATTGCTTGCTGCTTGTCGATTCCGGTTGTAAAGAGCCAGTGTCGTTTTCGCAATGATGTTGCTAATCCAATTTCACATCATGCAAGGCGGTAGCGTAGCTTCACAGAAACCTGTTCGAGGGCATTTGCATGATCAGTTTTTATGTGTGATCACGGTTTGTTTCGAGACAGATGCTTGATGACTGGTTGTAAGTCATGGAAACGAGCGGGCAGTGTGCTGGCAGGAGAAAAACTAGCTGTATTTCAATTTTCTGGTCAGATTTTGGTCCCAAAATCCAAGACTAGATCTCCTTAGTCATTGACACTAATCTTCCCATGAATCCGCTCTACTAGGTAAAACTCACGACTATTGATACTTAGGCCCGTATGCACGTACATCCCCGCGGGGAGGGGATGTGCGCTTAACCATTGAAATGATCCCCGCTGGGGATCCCCTCCCCTCCCCGCGCGAACCCCCGTATGCACAAAGACAATATCGTACAAGGGATCCCCTGTGGGGAGGGGAAGTGAACCCTCTTAGGCCCGAATGCACTAACATCCCTGCGGCGAGGGGAGCGACGTCCCCAATGATGTAAAAGTCGTAGCGGCGTCCGCACGCGACTCCTTCATAATGGGGGATGCCGCTCCCCTCGCCGCAGGGATGTTAGTGCATACGGCCCTTATGCACAAGAGGGGATCAAGCGGGGAAATCACCTTGCTTCCAAATTTTCTATGAAAAACTCTTTCTTATTTCATATTTTGACTGCAACTCATCTTCATCTCCTCACTTTCATTAATTTAGGGTTGCGGAATGCGCGTATGCAGTGACTGCGCTCGGGGCACTAAAAATGATTTTTTCTACTCCCATTATGTTCCTGCTTTCTTGGATGCTGCCCATTTTCGCTCATGCTGCTCCATTTCAGCGTAAAAATGTTGAACTGTAGAAGTTGATGTGTCTCTGCAAGGGAATGGGTAGAAGACGTTAGGCTGCCGAAAAGGGGGGGGGGGGGTGCCGCGCGGACGCTCAAAGCAGTATTCTAACACATAACAGAAGCTGCAAATTGTGCCAGCTCTCCATAAACGCTGTAGCTATCATCTGCATATCGTCCTTTATCCCAGGGGAATGATCCCCAGCAGCCATCCCTGCTATGCACAAGGGGAACGCTGGGGAGGGGATCACTCCCCAGGGGACTTCTACTCAGAAATAGGCAAATATGCTACTTTCTAGATTTTTTCGAGGCAGCTTATGTTAAAAAAACAAGATAATGGCCATGTCAATGAAATATGAAAGTTACAGTGTGTTTACTCAGCCTATATAGTTAAGACTATTATGTTATATGAAAAATGCGCAAATTTCCTGAATGATCAAGAACTCCTACAAATAATCGAAATTGGCAGCTATTGTTGCTCGGATTTCTTCTCAAGAGGCGAATATAGAAAAGAAAGACAAATTGCAAGCCACAGGTCGCTGAGAGAAGAACCCGGCTATCAAAGAAAATCCTCCATCAAAATGAACGAAATGCTTGGTAATGACTGAGCAGAACCAGAATATCCGCGTCTCTGGCATGATCTACACCATCGAACCCCTACTTCGTTGCAGGGGATGTCGATCCCCTCCCCCGCGTTATTGAGTTGAATTCGCGCATACGGGGTTCGAGTGGGGGAAGGGAAGGGATCCCCTCCCCCATTCGAACCCCGTATGCACTGGGGTTCGCTCGATCAATACCTCTGAAATCATTCACAACATCCCCGCTTAGGTGCAGGGGAGGGGATCGCTCCCCTCCCCTCTGTCATGGCGGGGTTCGGCGGAGGGGATCGTTCCCCTGGGGATCCAGCTCCCCTCCCCTCCCCAGCGGGGACGTACGTGCATACGGGCCTTAGTTACAGATGATTAGGGGTGTACCCATCTGTAACTAAATATCAGTTGTCGTAGGGAGTAGGGACCTCAGTCGCGCTTATCTGTTTCTCAGATTAAGCATCTGTTTGAAATTAACTCTTAGGCAGTCAACATAAACAAATCTTTTCTCCTGTAAGAGTTTTTTTGAGGAGAATGGCGTCTTTCTGATAGCTATCATTTAAGCTTACGCCCATTAGGGTTTCCTATACTGAACCCACATACCTGTGAAACAGTGGCGGTCCTGGATCCCGTTGGAGGGGGAAGGGGGGGGGGACGGAAACTTTTTTGGATGGAGGTTGGTAGCGTTAGCCATGCCGAAAAATTTTTAGGGGGTGCATCCCAACATTTTTGCGGGACGGTGACCGCAGAATTTCAAATTTTACAAAGCCAAAGTGAATTTTTGAAAAATTTCAAAAATTCGAATTGTTTAGATTCGTAAAGAAGTCATTTGTACATGTATAACTCATGTAAGTAACTTTCATAAATGCGACCCATTCTCGGAGGAGTGGGGGCTTCCTCGATCCGCCTTTGCTGTAGAAGGAAAGGAGTTGATTTTTTTACGGATTTGGAAGCCCTGGAGCATTTTCCTGGACTTTGTAGCATGTGTAACATCGCCGGTGCGCAGAACTGCTCGTGCAAAAAATTTGATTTGCTAATTAGTTTCAGCTTTCGCTTTTCCGGGCATTTCACCTTTGTGGACGTAAAACGGTACGGTTTACAGTAATTATCTGCATTTATTGCAGCTTTACAACAATATCAAATGAGTCAAGACATACCGTAGCAGAAGCTAAGCTAGACTTGAATATCTTGCATTGAAAATCCGAAAATAACCGGATCGGTTTTTTGTAATACTCAACAGTTGCTGTAAATATTCGCTTACTACGAGTCCGAACCGAAATGTGAATTTGATCAGTGACCGTTCTAGGATTTTGTGTCGAAAAGCTGGCTTTAACTTGCTAACTCTCGTTGACAATTAAGCGTCTGTATTCCAATGATCTTATTTCTGCCATAAGCTTGATCACCTTAGCGACAGAGCTTTAGTATTCTAAACCCTTGTCGCGGCCAAGATCTGGTTTTTAAAGGCGTAATCTGCCGAGAACTGTCTACCACCGAATTCCACACTAATGAAGCTTGAATGATGTTTCGTTCTGTCTGAATTCATGTTTAAGGGATCGGTCAGAGTTTGCCGGTGTTGCAAGTGTTGCCGGTGTTGAAAGTGTTGACGGTGTTGCAAGTGTTGACGGTGTTGAAAGTGTTGACGGTGTTGCAAGTGTTGACGGTGTTGCAAGTGTTGAAAGTGTTGCCGGTGTTGAAAGTGTTGAAAGTGTTGACGGTGTTGCAAGTGTTGACGGTGTTGAAAGTGTTGAAAGTGTTGAAAGTGTTGCCGGTATTAGAGTGTCTCTCATTTTCAAAACTATCGGGAATTGCTTTCGCATACAAAAGATCCTCATTTAAATTTTAGGACAAGTTGAGCACTTGTTCTACATAGGCAATCTCCATTGTTTGAGAACGATGTTAAAATCTGATGAGTAATGCGTGTTCGGTGTCAAATCCGGAGCTTCTGCAGATAGTAAGCAAAACACGTACAGCAACTGGCAAGGTCGGTCGAGAACGAATGAGAATCACTTGCAACACCGTCAACACTTTCAACACCGTCAACACTTGCAACACCGTCAACACTTGCAACACCGTCAACACTTTCAACACCGTCAACACTTGCAACACCGTCAACACTTTCAACACCGTCAACACTTGCAACACCGTCAACACTTTCAACACCGTCAACACTTGCAACACCGTCAACACTTTCGACACCGGCAACACTAGCAACACCGGCAACACTTGCAACACCGGCAAACTCTGACCGATCCCTAAGCCAGCCTTAGGATAAGTATGTCGGTATCCATGAGAGTTGTGGAAAAAGTTACCAGCTATCGCGTAAGTAACTACAAAGTGCATTTCTTGGGTACCTTTGTCTCTCTCATTCTCTCTCTCTCCCTCCCCATTTCCATGCCTTATCTTTGCTCATGGATTTCCATAGATGAGACACCTCCCATCCAGAGCTAGATTGGTTCGTAATCAATTGTGAAAGAGGGTGAAGGAGTGAGGATAGGCAGATGTTTCTAAAAATTAAGTATCAGATGGTTGTAAAGTTGGGTATCACACTCAATACAAATAGTCGAGTAATCCTGTGTTTAGAAGCTCGTAAGCAGTGTTGCTCATAACAGATCACCAAACTTGAATAGGAAATTTATTCCCATATCTTGCGCATTCTAGAGTGCATTTATTTCTGCCTTCTTGATATTCGGAACAACTCTGTTTGCACTATTTTTTTCAGAATTTTTAGGTCTTGCTATCCATATAACTTTAAGCATCTTATATTAGACTCTTATATCTTGAGGGATAGTTGTAGCTTCTGTGAACCACAGCCGTTTCAGTATCTTCCAAGTAAGAAATATCTAATGCTCGACCACTTTCAGGATTCCCCTATGCTACGTGTTTTGTTTGCGGTCAACAAGGCCATCTATCAAGAGATTGCGAAAAGAACGCAAATGGTATTTACCCGGACGGTGGGTGGTCGTTTGACATTTCAACGCCAAGAGAGTATGCAATTCATTCAGCTATTCTTTGTAGGAGGTGGTTGTAATGTATGCGGATCGACAAAGCATTTGAAACGTGATTGTCCTGAACTGGCAGCCCAAAAGCAGAAAAAAGAAGAGAAGAGTAAGTGGTTGTTAGTGGAATGTTATGGGTGTGAGTGAATGTCGTGACTGATCGCTAGAGGGGAATGGAATGAGTTTGTAAAAAGGTTAGGGGCTGGGTTAGATTCATGTATTCGAGATGTTTTTAGCCTCTTTTTTCCCCTTGTACCACTACTTGGGAATTTTCTACTCTACGTTCGTAATGGTCCCTCTTTCTTACCCAAATCCTTATAAAACTTGTACTCGTAACTCAGTGCTTTATGACCAGCTGTTGTTCACAACGCGTAACCGGATGCGGAGTTATTGAAACGTTTACAGCTGGGAAGTGTAGTGTTTGCATGCTATAATCAAGAACTATGTTGTTTGTTGAGTTCCGGTTATGCTTGTAGAACTGCCTGGTTTTCTTGAGTTTACCCAGGCTTGTTCGCGGCAGTGGGAGGTAGGTTGGGTACATTATTGGTGGATTCTCCAGAAGTTCTGTCTTTCATCTATGAGAAACTGTTCTGGAAGTGATTGAAATAGGGTTCTTTTACGCAGGAGTGAGCAAAAAAATAGTCAACTGGTCCCAAAAAATGCATCGAACGTTTGATCGTTGATAACTTCCATGTCTTAGCAATTTTCGTTGACGTTTAGAGACCTCATACTTCACCGAAAAAAGCCCAAAAAGCCCGAAAAAGCCTCTAGCTCGAAAGAGCCAAAACGTCCCCTCCGTTTTGACGCTAAGGCATGTGTGTTGATTTTGCAACCGAGTCTTTTTGCTTCATTTTCTGTCGTCTGCATCTGACATCAGAATGATGTCAGAATTCTACCAAAAGTTCTCTTCGTTTTGACTCTTTCGGGCTTTTTCGGGCCTTTTCCGGCTTTTTTGGGCCTTTTTGGGCTTTTCTCGGCAAAGTATGACGGTTCCCTTAGGTAGCACATTGTAAGGCTGGCTACAATCTCGATCCACAATACAAAAAAAGGACTATCGCTACTGTAGGGTTACGGTAGGAACTTCAAGCATGAAGTCGTCATTCCAATTAAGCTGATTTTTCGATAAATTCTAGACTGATCTAGTAAATAACTTTGCTTATATTTGTAGAGCAATTTAAATAGTATAATCAAACTTCTGATAATCAATGGGGAAATTGCTGTCACGGTATATCTGTGGTTACTTGGGAATGATTAAGGAGCGAAAAGCTCGTACATGGAGTTAGCAATGCTAATCAATCTGGTAGGCTTATTCTACAGTAATGAAAAGTAGTGTTTCTTTCGCACCTAATCTAAGTGGAACCGACCCTACAGTATGCAATTAAAAATTCTTCGTAAGCTGATGGTAGAGGAGAATAATAAGCGATCAAACATTCATTGCATTGGAGCACCCTTATTTGAAATTCCGCATCATCTATCGCCCCTCTAACGTAAGCATTTGCGACCCCGCTAGTGGCTGACTCATCGGGCCTTGGTGACTGTCTCAAAACATCGAGTTTGCATAGTGAATAGGCAGATTTTATGTGCAATACTATCTGATTACTAGTATTTACTGTGCCGTCGAACCTGGGTCGTATTGTGAACGCAGTCGGCGACGTTGTAAAGCCGACGACGGTCATTACAGGACAGGTCTCTGCAGACTGCCTGCGAGGTCATCGCTAATGATAAGATCGAAGAGCTCTTGTGCGCTGTTTTATTGCGTTTTTGTTGGAGTTGCCGTTAATTGATGATAGTTTTATCTATTGTGCAAAAGAGTCTCGTAAAAAGTAGTTCCTTTGAAGGTTAGGGGTAGTTGAATGGGTGGGAAGACAGCTTTTTTTTCTAAAAAAAGGAAAGTGATGTGTGGTGTTGGATATATGAAGGAAGGACATAGTAAGGAATAGAGTACAAGAAAATGATGCTGGAAGAATTTGGACATTGAGACTTGAGAAACTAAAGGAATTGAAATCGCAGAAAAAACCTGAATGATTACGAGAAAAAATGTGTGGGATTGATAGGAGAAGAAAAATCATGATTACAAACATTGGAATCATTATTTGAGCTTGAGTTTCCTTTTCTTTGAGCATTTTGGAAGTTACATTTCACCCAAGAATCATTTTTTGGAGCAGTCTTACTGAAACCCCGAATTATGATATGAGGTTGAAGTATAATTCTTGAACCAAATTTTTTTTTGAAAAATTGGAAGTACAAATTCAATGAGTTCCTTCGGCATAATAAGAAATAGAGAAGGTTATACGGTTTTTGCTAGTGCTTGGAACAAAAATTTTTGTTATCATGCAGCGGCATCTGCTAACCTCGAATTTCACTTTCAATCCAATTTCTATAACCCACTATTTTTTTACTGAGATTAATTGATGCTAATTGAATCTATTTTCTAAAAAATTGTTATTCTCGAATCTCTTTTTTTGAATTTTGATTTCATGGTAAAACACTACATATATTACAACAGTACAAATATTTCACAGATTGAAATGGCTGCCTGAGCCTTCTTAAGGATTTTTTTTTGCAGTTTTTTTTGTAAGAGTTATGTTCCGAGCTAATAATTGATATCCGCCATCAAGAGAAGTTTTTTATTCTATGTAAAAACCTTTGAGTCAATTTACTAAGGCGTACCCTTTCTTTTCTTGAACTTTCTGTAGCCACACATTTGCATTTGCAAGACAATCTATGAAGAAAAGTCGTTTGTTTTCTGCAGATGAAGTCCTTACCATATGGCGCGAGTTAGCCTATGTACTCTGGTTTGCAACATGAAAGTTACTTTTTGGTATAATAAATGTGACAGGATGAGATGTCACTGGTCTCCTAACAATAGATGGCCTCTATGTACAATTTTGACTCGTTTTCCCCAATAAGTGGGTAATCAACGTTGGACGATTGCCAAGAATGTCAATGTGCTCTGAAGTGCATAATAGTGTTCCATAGTACAGTTCTCACATAGGATCTTGCAAAAATCGTAATTCTCCTTTTTTTGTTCAGATGTGACCATTCGAACCATGTCGGCCATGACATCGGCTGACGCTGACGACATTCCCGAAGATGAGGCGCAAGCGCTCAAGAAAAAGCCGAAGAAGATAGTCAAGTTCTAATAGTAAAGTATAGGTGTGTCATATGAATTGTACGAGTTTCATTCGCATTTTTCTCATGCCGACGTATTGACGCCCGTTTACGGTTACATGAGAATTTTACGAGCATCAACGTATGAATCAGCAATGTAAACTCGTGTGTAGAGATGAGCGCTGGGCGGTTTTGTGCCTGATTTTCGTTGGGGAAGTGTTGTTAAAGAGCGTTATATTGTACTATCTAAAAATTTTATTTTATTGCATGTTTATCGATTTTTTGTTAGAAAGCGTTTAGAGTTTTCTTAATTCAAAGAACTGTTATTATTGCATGTTTTGTTAACTCTATTTTTCTTATTTTGTTTGACTATTTATTTAGAATGTAATTTGCTGTATTGTTCTCATAATCTGGAATTATCCCATTTTAGCAGTCCCCTACGTATTTGCACCATTTTTTTCAATTTTGCGGTGGCGGGCCGATAGTGCTAGAGATTAGAGTAGCTACTATCAAAAATCAGGAAAGAAGAGGTGACATAAAAACCATTACAGAAAGATAATTTACAGAAAGGTAAAAGTGCAGTTTGGGTCATCCATAAAATGTGTGTATTGCACCCCACCCGCGCTACCTCACGACACCTGTGCTGTATGTTGCTTTTTTATAGAGTGTGTATGCTAGTATAATGTATTTTTTTTTAAATCGTTTATTTGCATAATTCAGAATTTTTTAAATTATTTATTTGAAGAGTCATAGGGTCCCAGGTACCCTTTACACTCCAATCAAGTTGCAAATGACTCGACCGTACTCTTATCTTTCTGATTTTTTTTGTAACCGTTTTTATATTACCTCCTCTTTTTTTCGTGATTTTTTGTAGTACATAGCCACTCTAGCGCCACTTGCCTGCTACATTGCGGACCTCAAAATTGGTGCATTTACACAAAGTGACTGCTTGATTGACTACTGTATCTTAGATTGTTTGTCTGTTGTTGCACTTATTGGTTTGTCGACAATGAAACTACCTCAAAATGGTGTCATTGCACAGCAAACACAGTTTTTTCCCTCGTAACCAAATGGCGCCAACAAACTTTTCTTTTCGCTCACTTGTCCGTTCAACAAGCGTCTGAGACATCATAGTATTTGCGTACGCACGTCTGACCGCCTCCACCCCCAATCACCGCGCCATCACCACGCGTGGACGCGCTGTTCGAATGGGTGAATCGTATCATCGATAACTTCTTCTTGGTCATTGAAGTGAATTAGTTCACTTTTCTTCCCTGTTTTCAACCATTAATAATTATGATTGATATTTCGATCTCTAGTCAGCGTCAAGAAAAACTTTCTTTGGTTTATTGTGTAGTATTAGCAGTCTCAGAAAGACCCCTAAAATCACATCTTTCTGCATTTCTTCGAACTTATCGGTCTCTATGCAATTCTATATATTTGCTATTTGCTATTTTTGAGCTCATATGCTAGCTCATAGCTCATAAACTTCTTGTCGAAATTATCATTGTATCGGTTAAAGTAAAATGTTCAACAAGTGCGATGTATTTTTGCATACGATTTCTAGTGACCATCTGGATTGCGTGCTTGAAATGTTGTTCCGGAGGGTCATTTTCTTTGGACTCGCGAAGTGGGGGAAATAATTTGAACGATATTGACATCAAACCTATGTCTAAAATCATTTGAATATCAGATGTGTAAGAAAAATATGTTTGAAAATGGACTAATTTTTGCATGATCACTCAACTAATCACCAAAGGTTTGAGCCACCATTCTGCCCTGTCGTAATCTCCAGTGATTTTCCATTTCTGCCAAACTCATAAAAGTTTTGATAAGACTTTAACATTGGAGCAATGCTTACTTTTTTGCTTTTTTTTTGAATTGTGCTCAATGAATCTTTGGTATACTTTTGCTCAAAATTCCCGCTTTTGTAGTAATCTTGTTTATGATCGGATTGTAGGGTTAATCGTCGAATAAAGGGGAAGAATTTTTATGGAACAATACTTGATTTACTTGTACTGGTCCTTTTTAAGTGATTTATGAACGTGGAATATGGCCTCGTGAATATTTTTTTATGAAAAGGAAAAAATTTTTGTAGAGTCCATTTTCGATCTTTATGCACAAGAGAAAATTCATAATAGCACTTCAACTGTGAACTTGGGTGGCCACTCCAATAATATGAACTTTACTGGGCAGAAAAAGAAATGTTGCGCCATTGTTTCAAGTGTCTGTCTATTCTCAATTCGCGTGATTCGATGGGCATATCTAAAAACGATACAATCCTTTGAACGACACAATATCATAGTTCATTTCCCGCATATGTCGTGAATATTGCTTCTCAAGTGCTAATTGTATCTTGACAAAACTTTGCAATCCTATTACCACTGTACAATGCTAAAACAATTCTTCTAACAATTGTGAAGATACGGTAATGATCAACAGAAAATCCATATGTAGCTCAACCCTTTATTACAACATTTTTTTTTGATTTGGATGGCTAAGACCTTGCGGTCAATCAAAACTTCATCTTCTTTTGTCTCAGTACATCGTGACATCAACCAGACTTGGTATACATCATATTTTTGAATATATGATGTTTATTACGTTAATGGAAATCTTTCTTTGTCAAAGTTGTGAATAATTTACGATATATAGGCTAAATACTGCAGAATAGAATGTAGTGCATACGAAATGAATACAAAGTAAAGGGAAACTTCAACAGACTTTTATCACAATCTAGTAGAAAAACTGAGAAGCAGAATTCTCAGTGTTTTACATTTTGTTTCAATCAAGCTTATTAACATCCATAATACGAAAATTAGAGTAAGAAATTTGCCAAACTCATTCATCACTCGATTATCGATCGGCATCAATCTCATATTTTCAAATGCTCTATACTGTGGTGTTACGTTGTAAAATGTGATCCTTGGTCCTTACGTATTTTACGCCATCCCTTATCGGGAGCAAACGGAAAATTTTGATCGTTAACCCTATGTATAGCATCTTGTGCGCTTATCAGTTCTATCGCTTCGACAGCACATTTTACCACATCTGGCGAGCAAACTTCATTCTTGTTTCCATCTCTAAGGTTATTGATTAATCGTTAGATGTGTAGTTCCTTCCATAGAAAAGTGATAAATATTGGTCGATAATCTATCGGCATTAAAATGAGTAATTCCTGCCTTCTAATTTCCTCGTCTAATCTCGTCCAAGCGCGGCAAGCAGCAGACGACGGCTACGTTTGTTCAAGGCGGACAGGCTTTGTTAGACGGCTTGAACGAATTGCTTAGGCAAACTTTGAGCGGCGATCTTCAACCCGGCATTGTGCATGGTCAATGAGACTCATTTCACCGATAAATCTCCAATTCTGTTCATTTTTACATGGACCCAATTCGAGTTCAATAATAGGGTAGTGTAGTTCTCTGTGGCTCGTAATTTCTCGAAGTTTTGCAGCACTAAAGATGCTGTAATATTAAAACTTCAAAATTTGCTTGTATTCAGTTTATTTATTTCTCATCCCCTTTCCTCCAAATTTGTGCAGAAAGTTTTTTATACCTACATCGTCACTGGAAGGATTTCCATTTCCATTTATTGTATTCAAATTTTTTCTACCGTTTTGACTTTTATCTCTTCACTTATTGTTAGCCAATCAACATAGAACATATGATGCAACTTTCTGTGAAACTCAGAATGTCTATATTCTTCAAATTTACATCAGTCAGAGATATCAAACATAATGTATACTTGAAATAAAAACCAATCTAAAATTTTTTGGTAAGGTGAGAGTTCATTTTTTCATGAATATTGGCATTGTTCTAAACATTTTTCGGGACGGTTGCTTAGCTTATACCTCTCCTGTACCGATACCAAATTTGGTCAATCTCAGCAACCGTATCGAAAAACACTTTAGGATCATTTAATTGTGAGAAAATAGATACCCAATTACCTCTAAACTGTTCACCTTTCCATTTTTCTCAAAGTTAATTCCAGTTTTCAAAACAAGTTTTGTTGCGAAGAAAATCGATACGATTCAGGCGAATAAATACCAGTACTGTTATCTCCTATTACCTTTTCTTCCCCTTCTTCCAGAGTATGTTTTTATGTGCTGTTGAGAATTTGATGTTTGAGTTTAATAGAGGTTAACTGTAGCCGGAAGCATACTATGCACTTCTATCTGTAATTCGATAGGTCAAGTTTACTCTGTTCGAATAGAATAACTGCATAATTTCTGCTGTGTTGGAATAATAATAAAGTAATTTTTGGCAATATAAGTGACACTTTTTAAAATTAGAACAACTCATAAAATTCTACACTGCAGAGTATTTATAAGATTCATGCTGTCATAATCACACTCATGACATTTCTTTCATATATTTGCACATGGTATTGAAATGATTCAATTTGTAAAGGGATAGATGTCCTACAAGACCGAGATAATAGTATTTCTTGTTAGCAAGCTTTCAAATTTTTATTAAAAAAAGAATAAACTGTGCTTCTGTAGAGTTTTGTGACATGAAAGTCCCGATGGGATTTGGCAAACATCCCTCTTGCAGTTATGGGCGTGTCCCAGTGCTCTAAGGAATTTTCTTTGGAATTTTATGTTATCACCAATTACATCCATCGAAGCCTAAGTTGAAGGGTAGTCTGCTCAGTGTTTAGCCTATAAGAAGAGAGTGTGCGAAGGCGCAGGAAAAGGAGGGAGGGAAACGTATTGTGGTAGTCGTGTTCGGTTGGATATGGGTTTCAAGGATCTGAGAATCCAGAAAATCTTCGAATTAATGAAAAACGGAAGTGCAAAAAGTTGAAACTGTGATATATTAAAGAAGACAGTCAATCTTCGAATTTTCTTTGCTTTATACAATGATGGCTTTTATACGTAGAAAATTTTCGTCCTTAGAAATTCTCCATCCGCAACGTCAACATTTTTTCAACTTCTTGAAAAACTTCTCCTTGAAAGTGCAAGTTGTGCACAAGTCCAGCTTTCACTGTTTGCTTAGATTTTTGCATTTGAGCCGACGACAAATACCAGAAAATCTCCTCAAGCATCAGGTGCAGCGGCTCTCATGTTGCACACCGACCACACCTCTCATTCCAGAAAGCGAACCAGTTCTTGGATTGGGGCTGTTTTTGACCGTAGTCACTTCGGTTTTTCTATGACGGAACAAATGTTCGTCTAATATGCTTCGCTCCGAGAAGTTTTGCGTTTAGTCTCATTTTTCTTCCGCAAAACCCGTGCGTCTAAACGGCTATGGTCGTCAGGGGGTAGAAGTGGAAGAACCTGTTTTCTCACTGTAAAAACCGACTCCTATAGAAATGTATAGCATAGCATGACATGCGCATTTGCCATTTCTGTGCTTTTGATGCCGGTCTAGGTGATAAGGCTGTCGGTTTGGTTCGTACGCAATTGTGCGTAGATTATTGGCCGCAAAAAAGTGACGATATGAGCAATTCGGGCAGGTTCGCCGTCGT